AGAGATGAAGAAAACATGATTGCAATAAAACTTAGAGTAGGAAATCGAAATACAAGGCGGCTCTCTTTTCACAAGAGGCTAAAAATCCATATATATAGTGCTAGGTCTTTCTAGAGGCGGCTAGGGTTAAGCCGGGCTTGAAAACATAAGTTTGGGCTTCAAAAAGGGCTTCGGGTCGACCGCGGCGTTGGGACGGTCGTGCGGGACGATCGGCCGGACAATCGGGTTGTGGCCGAGTCGGAACGGTCGGGGCCGGATGATTCACGGTCGGTCGGCTTGGTCGAGCGGATTGAGATTTGGCCGATGAAATTCTCGGCCGGACGTGGGCGTTCTTCCCCGGTCGGACGGATGCATCGGCCGTGGTACGCGGAGAGTTGCGCGGCCGCGAGGCGTTTCCCGGCTCGCGCGCTTTGGTCGTGCGCGGCGTGGCGTGGCGTTTGCTTGGCCGACCGCGGGCTTGAGTTTCCCGGGTCGTGATGCGTGATCGGCCGAGTGGTTTTGGACTTTGGCCGAGACTTCAGTCGGACGGATACGGTTTGGCCGAGCGGAACATTCGTTCCTCGGCCAGCCGGACTGCGCGGTTGGGCGCTGATTCTCGATAGAGCCGTCTGGAGCAGTTCACTCTTTTGGCTATAACTCCTTTTCTACTCATCCAAATTAGGCCGTTCCAGTTGCGTTGGAAAGTTAACTCAATCAGAGCACGCAGGGAACTGGTCTTGATGAAATCCATTGAGTAGATCTTTTTCTGGGCCCTCTTAAAGTTGGTGCTTGTGCATGGAGCTGCTTGAAGTGCAAATCCTATGGTTTTGCTCCAAAATGCATCATTTCACCTGTTTAGACTCTAGACACTATAAACACAGTAAAACTACCTTTTTAGATAGAAAACCTGCCAAAAACCATTAGAAAACAATGCTAAAACAGTATAAAAAGTGGGTAAATTAGAGGTATATCAACTCCCCCAGACTTAGATCTTTGCTTGTCCTCAAGCAAAAAGAATCTAAATCCGTGAAAGAGGTTTGAAAACGTGGAACTCCCTTGCTCTTTTGAATATCCTGTGAAAGGTTCCTTTCCTGTATTCCACTATGAACATAGACAACATAAGGTTAGCTTCACATACACCCTGCAAGTTTAGCGAACAATACCAACCCAACTAGTCTCATCCAGCAATCCAAACTCTCTATTGCTAACCTCTTGCATAAATTTAAAGCGTGAATTCTTTATCAAGGGGACATCGATCAATTGAACTTGTTCTTACCCACTTGATCCTCTCCAAGATTGCCTCTTTAAGTGCAATGAGTTCTTTTCCTCTCTCTTTCTCACATCAGAACTTTGAAAGGTCAATTTCTCCCTACTTTTCTAGGGTATCATTTTATTTTTTCTATTGACCCTTCTTTCAACCACAGGATAAGTCTTTAGCTTGTTCCTTGTTTGACTAAGGTATTCCATAAGACATGAAGGTACAGACATATGCATTCCTCATGCTTACTTGTTGTCCTTGTGCTCTTTGAGCTTTTTCTCATATACATTACTTACCATTTGGGATGGGAGAGAGAGGAGAACTCTTTAAAGATTAGACAAATCTTATTGAAAATCAAGCAAGGAACTGTCGACATGTATGCCAACCCCCTTGACAAGAGTAATTAAGATTGATTAAGTGTGAGGTTAACTCTAGATTGCTTGGTTACCTTAGAAATTTTGCTGAGCTAGCATGTCGATCCACTGTAAGAGCTTCTGTTAGGCTTGTGCCTTTAGCTGGTTTCTGCTCTAGGGTCATGGATTGTTAGCATAACACTCTCAATTCTCAAAGCAAGTTCATAACTTCCGGACTGGTTTTTGACTCAATAAAACTTTTTGAAAAACATGAAACAAAGTGAATAAAACATAAGAAAAGAAAGAAAAATGCATTAGTAACACAATAAAACTCCCCCCAGACTTAACTTGCACCGTCCCGGTGAAAGCAAATCACATTAAGGTGAGAGGTAATATTCAAAGTAAAAGAAAAATAAAGAAAAATTCATTAAAATAAGATAGGGATAGAAAATGGAGATTTGTAAGTGTCCATTGCACTAAGTACCACTTGAGATGACTATGTGTGGCAGTGAGAAGAACTCTCTTCCTCATCTATGGGGTCATCGCCTTCTGAACCAAGCTCTGAGTCTAGTGAGAACTCACCAAGGTCAGGCTCATATGGCTCTCTAGCGGTGGAAGAAGGGCGAAAGAGTCTCTCCGGTGCAATGTGGCGAACTACGCGGACTAGGCGTGAGATGAAGCGAGATTGGCATTCCACTATCTTCTCCAGCTTGTTAACACGGTCTAGAGCTGATGCGCAGCCATGCCAGTAGTGAGAACATGGCGTTCTTGGAGCGGCGTTGAGTCTTGACTGCATGCTGAAGTGTGCGATAGGTGAGCATGGGGAATGATGGTTTCTCACTTGATGGAACATAGAATCTTCCTCATTGGGCTGGAAAGTGACAACTCCTGAGCGTAGGCTTGGGATGTCTCATGTGGCAGCAAGACAAGGGAAGTGTTGGCTGGACCAATTGGAAACTCATAGCAAAACCGAGTTGGGTCTTTAGTCCAACGGTTTAGGAAGTGGATGTGCTGAAGAGCATGGAGATCCAAAGGGGTTGGCTTGGGTAGTGGCTCATAGTTGGGAATGTCAATCCCCACATGCAGTACTATGGCCGTGATAAGCCTCCCAAAACGAACACAAAGCTTCTTGTTGCCTTCCCAAAACGAACACAAAGCTTCTTGTTGCCTTCCAAGTCTTGAGCTAGCTTCCTCACATTGATGAATGTCTTGGCAAGTAAAAGTCCAAGGTTGGCCTTGTACTCATGCTTGATGAATGGTGTGGTGAGGATGTAGAACTCATCAGTTGTGACCTTGTTGGCTTCTTGTTTGCATTGGAAAGTGGTGGAGATGAGGCGGTGCACATAGCGAATGGCTGGATGAGTGATTCTAGACACCTTTGACCTTGAAGGCAAGAATGGTTCATTGGCAAAGTGTGTCCAATCAGCAAAGGCAGCTTGTTTCCTCTTTGAGTTCTCCTTGAAGTCATGTGCTGTCTCATTGGGAAGTCCAAAGAGTTGGCATAGAGCTGAGATGGAGATGCGCCCATTGGCATCGCCTATCTTGAAGAGTAGGAGTCCATCACCAGCTGGTTGGTCTCCATTGTGGTTGGGAAAGGCAAGAGCTACTGTGGAGAGGAACTCCTTGGTGAGTTGTGAGTACTCACTACATTCTAGCTTGAAGAGCTTGCTCAAGCCTAGCTTCCTTATGTACCATGTGACATCATCTCTTATCTTGAGAAGATCAAGGGTTTGGGTGTCCATCTTCACACATGGCTCGATGTTCACCTTCTCCATTGCCTTCTTACACTTTCTTGGGTCTTGATTTTGTTCTCCAACAAAGGTTACAAGTGCCCAATCATCTTCTCCTCTTCTTGGACTCTCCACATGTTCTTGATTGCATCAATGGAATGTGGTGAAGTTGGTATTGCTGCTCTTGCATTGGAGCTACTACTCCCTAGCTTGATTTGCTTCTTTGGTGGTTCCATGAATGGGTTCTTCTTCTTCTTCATACTCTCATTTCCTTTTGTCTTTGCCATTGGTGTACCTACAAGAGCAAATTCTTGGGAAGAAATATGAGTTTGTGATTAATGCAAAAGAAGAATAAGCTAATTGAGTTGCAATAATGATATGGAATAAAGGAACAACTCAAGGCTTAATCATGAATCAAAGAGACAAAATAGAAATTTCACTTTTTCAAAATTAATTTTCGGATTTTACTGTTCATCCCAAGATTATGGTGCTTAAAATCAAAATTTTCAGCAAATCAAGAGAAATTGAGTTTCTAATCCAAGTAATCACTAGATAAACTAATGAATTGAAGTATGCCAAGCAATTTCACCTTTGAATAAGGGGTTTGGAATGCCCAATAAGTTTTGTGAAAAACTATTCAATTGTGAAATTAAACTTCAAATTAACTCTAAACCACCTAGGTTCCACCTAGCAAAGTTCATTACAAGACTATAAGGATGCTAATTTCAAGTCTAGACAAGAGTTTAGACCAAACATGAAACTTATTGAGATTTTCGATCTTGCATAAACATAGGATTAGAGTTAGAAGACATACCTTGTGTGTTGAAAAGTGAATAAGGTTGCAAGAGCAAGTAAATTCCAATTTAGAGTTATGAACAGTAAAAGTTTTGAAATCAAAACTCTTAGAGTTCCTCTAATGGAGTTTAGGGTTTTGGAGAAGAAAGAGAGGTTCTTGTGGTTTTCAAGGGAAAGGTGAAGTAAATAAGATCTAAATCCTATCAATTTTCCTTTTCAAATTCGAATTTTGATTGAAAACCGGTTTAAGTTGGTTTAGATTGGTTAAAACCGGTTTGAATTAATGAAAAGGGGACTTACCTTGGCCTAGAAAAGTTTTGGGCCGATGGCCGATGGATTTTGTCGCGGTCGAGCGATTTGGTCGGCCAAATTCGTTTGGCGAGAGAATTTCGGCCGAGGCCGAGCGTGTTTCCCGGATCGACCGGCACGGTCGGTCCGTTCCGATACGATTTTCGCCGATCGCGTTCTTCGTGTCGGTTCGTGCGTCGCGCGAACGTTTCTGTCGCGCAATGAGAATCCGGCCGAGCACGGCTATTCCTTCCCGGCTCGACCGTAACGGTCGGCCAATGAGAATTGCTCGGCCAAAATTACTTTTGCGCGTCCGCGGCCAATGTTTTGGCGCGGATTGTGTTTTCACACCTTTTTCTCCTTCTATCCTATCTTAAAACAAAGAAAACACAAAAGCAAAACAAAAACTAAGAAAATTAAAGAAAGAAAAGTAAAAGTACCTCATGGGTTGCCTCCCATGCAGCGCTTGTTTTAAGTCTTTAGCTTGACTGTAAGGCTTGGCGCTCAGGAGAAGATAGAGACAAGAGGCATCTTGATCCTCCAAGTCTTTTCTCCTTGCAATGAGTATCTGGTGGGTGATTCACAGCTGGATAGACAATCTCTCCATGAATGTCCCTTGGCACTACTGCCTTAGGAAAAAGCTTTAGAGTTCTTGTCACTTTCTCCTTGAATCCTTCTAGATTCTCATCAATAAGCTCCTTGGGAATAGAAGCTTCATGTTGCGGCCAGACCTAGGTTTTCTAACCTTCCTTCTTGGCTTGGCCTCATCTTCAATCTTGGTTGATCCCTTGGGCGGTTTTGGTGTAGGGGCCTTAGTCTTACTCCTTGCTTGTTTGGCAAGCTGCTTGGGCTTAGGAATGGGATCTTCCTTGATTGTTTCTTCAGTTTCTCCTTCTTGGGGTGGCTTCAAAGTAGCTTTCTCCTCTTGGACCATGTCAACAAAAGAGTTCTTTGTTGAACACATAGGGAAGAACATACCCTTGTTCACCTTGTTGAAAGAGATTCTTTGATTGGGGAAATCAAATATGGCACCCACAGTAGACAGGAAAGGGGTTCCAAATATGAGAGGTCTATGGCTACTCTCTCTCATTTCCACAATCTGGAAATCAGTAGGGATAGAGCAATTTCCAATCTGCACCATCACATTAGGCACAAAGCCATAGGGGTTTGTGAGAATGAATCAGCATAGTTGATGGAGATGGATGATGGCTCTATCTTGGTGAGGCCTATCTTGTCAGCTATCCTCTTAGACATGATGTTCACATTGGCTCCTGTGTCACACAAAGATTGCTCAAGAATGTTACCTTTGATGATACAAGGCACACAAACTTTCCTGAGTTATCTGTCTTGGGGATAATCTTTGGGAAGAGTCTTCTCTTTCTAGCTCGATTGGACTCTCTCTCTGGGTAATTCTCTTCAGGCCAAATCATGCAATCAACAGTAGGTTTTGAAAGCATCCATTCTGGAACTTGGTCTTCAAATCTTTCTTCTATGGCGGCTGAGTTGCAAAAGGACTTCTTGGATTCAGCTTCCTGTCTCTTAACAGCTTCCATAGTTTGAGTGACTTGAGTCTCTAGTTTCTTCACATGAGTGGCAACAGCATCATACTTGGTGTTGAGATTGCTGAACAAAGTGTCCATCTTCTCATACATCTCTTTAGTGTTTCTCTTCTGGCCATCCATGATCTGTTGGAGGATTCCTTCAAATCTCCCACCTTGTTGGTTTGGAGGAGCTTGATTTGGTGAAGAAGCATATGGCTCCTTGGGCGGATATGATGATCTCTGCTCATATCCTTGCCTTGGCTGAAATTGACTTCCTTGAGATTGGTAAGGAGGTCTTTGTTGTTGTGGATACCTTGGAGGATACACTTGGTCTTGAGGATTCTCCACATTGGGGTTTCTATAAGACATGTTGGGGTTTGGGCGATAGCTTGGATTGTATCCCTTGTTCCCATAGTTTCCAATGTAGTTCACATCTTCTTCATTGGCTTCATTAGAGAAATCTCCCATGCATTCTCTTGATGAATCTTCATTAGCATCACTCATCCCTTCTATTGCATTGATATGCTTGAGCTGTCCCTTAAGAACTTGAGCCATCATGTTCTTGAGTTCAGTCATTTGAAAAGAATCAGGGGAGCTAGTAGTGGTGCGGCTTGAGCGGTCATAATCAGGACAGTTGTTACAATCACTAGCTGCAAGATTCTCAATAAGAACCTTAGCTTCATCAACAGTCTTGGTCATGAAGTTTCCATTGCTTGCTGTGTCCAATGAAAGCTTGTACTTGTGGTCAATGCCACGATAGAAGATGTTCCATAGGTTTCCCTCATTGAAACCATGATTAGGGCAGTCCCTAATGTACTCCTTGAATCGATCTAGCGCCTCATAGAAAGATTCATTGTTGCCTTGGCGAAAGTGGAGATCTTGTTTCTCACAGAAATTGATCTCTGTTTGGTGTAGAAGTGGTTGATGAATGCAGCCTTGTACTCATCCCAAGTGGTGATGGAGTGAGCTGGCAGAGACTTCAACCATCTTGAAGCTTTGTCGCCAAGAGAGAATGAAAAGAGCTTGCACTTAAGGTAGTCAGCAGAGACTCCATTGGATCTTGTAGTGCTGCAAATTTCTTCAAAGTTTTCTATGTGATCAAGAGGGTGCTCAGCTGGAAGTCCATTGAATTGGTTCTGTCTAACCAATGCAATGATCTGAGGCTTGATCTCATAGTCATTCCTTGCAGGAAGTGGTGGATGGATAGGGTTTCTATCCATGAAGAAAGCATCGGCAGAGTCATAGTCTCCGATTGTAGGTGCTCCAGCTTGGGGTTGTGCGTTCACATCTCCAGCAGGGTTAGGAGGAGGAGGAGGTGGATCTCTTCCTTCTTCTTGAGCGCGCGCCACTTCAGCGGCGTGAGCGCGAGCTGCTTCGTCGGCCATCTCTTGGGCTTTTGCTTCCTAAGTTGCTTCTCAAGCTTGTCTATCTCTGGATGTTCAACTAGGTTGTCCTTGTTGGACCTCCTAGTCATGCACCTGAAAAGAGTCTTGGAAACAAGTTAAATCAAAAGGGAAAAACAAAAACAAAAGTAAAAATCAAAGAAAAGGAAATCAAAAACTAAAAATTCAAAAGCAAAAGAAAAGCAAAACAGGAAAAGGTTCTAGACTAGATCCTAGTCGAGTTCCAAAGGTACTGCTGCAGTCCCCGGCAACGGCGCCAAAAACTTGATGCGGAGTCAGGTTTTACCAAACTCCTAGACCTCTGCAAGTGCACAGATCGCGGAAGTATGGGTATCGAACACAAGGACTGGCTATTGAGTACACTTTGTAACTATGGATTTTGGATCAAGCTAAAACAAAAGTATGATTGAGGTTGTAATGGTGAACCGAACTAGCAAGTATAACGAGGTTGTAAAGCAATAAAGGAAAAGCGCTAGGTCATAGGGGCTATCGCAGAGAAGCAAGCAATGATCAATGAAACAATGATAGATTAATTGATTAGGGATATTGGGATATTAAGAACCATCTAGAACACAGATCACGAATATAAAACCATTCCACTTTCGAGGCTCCGGCTCCTTTGCTAATCTACCTAGTCGCTAAACTTTTGGTATGTCCCTAGGTGATTAGATCAAGCATTAGAATGAATAGGTTCTGATACAGTTCACTAGATATAGATAGATCAACTTTCGCAGTCTAAGAAACCTAGCTTGTCAAAGAATATGTCCGGCGAATGATACAGCACTGTCGAGGCTCAAATCAACCTAAGATCGGATTACTAGATGCGCGGTAAAGCAATCAGCATTAGTTAAGTGCACAAGACGAGACAAAGACTCTAATATAATCCCTAGCTAATCATTGAAATCAAAGATCATGCAAGCAACTCATTGAATAGTAACCCTAGCAACCTAACTAGTGGATTACTCAGACATGATCAAAGCAAACACACATAGAGATGAAGAAAACATGATTGCAATAAAACTTAGAGTAGGAAATCGAAATACAGGGCGGCTCTCTTTTCACAAGAGGCTAAAAATCCATATATATAGTGCTAGGTCTTTCTAGAGGCGGCTTAGGGTTAAGCCGGGCTTGAAAACATAAGTTTGGGCTTCAAAAAGGGCTTCGGGTCGACCGCGGCGTTGGGACGGTCGTGCGGGACGATCGGCCGGACAATCGGGTTGTGGCCGAGTCGGAACGGTCGGGGCCGGATGGATTCACGGTCGGCCGGCGTGGTCGAGCGGATGAGATTTGGCCGATTCTCGGCCGGACGTGGGACGTTCTTCCCGGCTCGGACGGATGCATCGGCCGTGGTACGCGAACGGTTGCGCGGCCGCGAGGCTTGTTTCCCGGCTCGCGCGCTTTGGTCGTGCGCGGCGTGGCGTGCGTTGCTTGGCCGACCGCGGGACTTGTTTCCCGGGTCGTGATGCGTGATCGGCCGGTGGTTTGGACTTTGGCCGAGACTTCAGTCGGACGGACGTTTGGCCGAGCGCGGAACATTCGTTCCTCGGCCAGCCGGACTGCGCGGTTGGGCGCTGATTCTCGATAGAGCCGTCTGGACAGTCTTCACTCTTTTGGTTATAACTCCTTTTCTACTCATCCAAATAGGCCATTCCAGTTGCGTTGGAAAGTTAACTCAATCAGAGCACGCAGGGAACTGGTCTTGATGAAATCCATTGAGTAGATCTTTTTCTGGGCCCTCTTAAAGTTGGTGCTTGTGCATGGAGCGGCTTGAAGTGCAAATCCTATGGTTTTGCTCCAAAATGCATCATTTCACCTGTTTAGACTCTAGACACTATAAACACAGTAAAACTACCTTTTTAGATAGAAAACCTGCCAAAAACCATTAGAAAACAATGCTAAAACAGTATAAAAAGTGGGTAAATTAGAGGTATATCAGTCAACAATTCCCTTTAACCATGATAGTTGTATAGTACAAAGGGTTATCAATCCAAAATGGGAAACTTGTCACTCTATGAGAATATGAAACAACCAGGAAGTCAAGCAAGCAGTATAGATTTGAAGTAACACTAACAACCTAAAAATGAAATGAAATGCAAAATAAAGCAGTAAGCAACAGCTCGACCAAGGACTCGAGTCGAGTGGAACAGAGTACCAGCTCGATCGAGTTTAGGGTCGAGTTGAGAAAAAGCTAAAGGTGACGACTTTAACAAGCTAAGAGAGAATTAGGGTTCAAGACAGGGTTTTGCAATAGGAATCTACACTTAATCAATCTGCTCTTAAAACTCCTTGTATCAAGGCTTCTCTTGATATTGGGCTTCTCAATGCCTAGCCAACCCTTTCCCAAGGTGGAGGCTATCAACCAAGGAATGATCTCAGAAACAGGGGGTTAGCCAGTGAGAATCAAACCTTGGAGGCCATAGGATCATTGCCCAAACTAATCCATCCAACCCCTTAGACCTCTATTTCTAGAGCAAGAGATATTGGAGCTCTTAGTGGATCTTTTCCAGCGAATGCCATCACTTCCGTGTGGAGAATCGCCTAAGGACTTACAAGCCAGGGGTAGTGGTCATGTAGCCTTAAGATCTATCCAAAAGAGAGAGAATCTAGATTAAGACCATAAGCTAGAAGGATTAAGCATATGAAACCTCTAATCTATCCCATCTCAAACCCTAATGGGTAACTACTCACTACACATGAATGTAAACACAAGCAAATGCAATAAAAGAGACATCATAAGAAAGAGGAGATGAAATTAAACAACTTTTATTGAAATAAGCAAGTGCAAATACAAAGAGATTATCCAGGATCTAGGATTCAAGAAGCAAGAGCTTCAAGAACACAAAGATGGGATTAGAGCTCTAAAAAGTAAAAGACAATAAATTAAAAGAAACTAAAACAAAATAATCTAAAGCTTGGTGGTTTTTTCGTGGCTTAGAGCCTTTAAATACAAGAGGATTAGGTTTAGGGTCAAAGGAAAGTCAAGGGGGAAGCAACATTTTTCGGGTTTGACTTTGACTTCTCAGCTCGATCGAGTTGAAGCTTGGCCGGTCGAGTTGAGGAACTCGACCGGTTGGTCGAGTAGACGGTCGAGCTGGTCTTCAAGATGGCTTCTCCCTTCTTCCTTTGCGTATCCAGTTGAGCTGCGTCCATGTGCCAAGTCCCTCCATGCTCCTCATGTCCCATATGCTCCAGAATGCTCCAAAAGACCTATTTCAAAGGACCAAACATGCATATGTATGCAAATGCAACCTAAAACTAACATGAATGCATAAGAAGAGAAAAGGAACAAGATATGATGCAAATGGAGCTAAAACTATGCAAAAGATGCATAAAAGATGTGCTAAAACTATGTAAAATGCAAGTACATCAACACCCCCAAACTTGAACTTTGCTTGCCCTCAAGCAAACAAATAGAACAAGAAAGAGATGAGGTTTGAAAACAAGCTGATTCAACACTTAAAAACATGTCCTCAAAAGCGATTTGCTAAATGTCCAACTTAGAGATTCTAGAATGCAACAAGGTGAGAGATATTCATTAAGATTTAACCATGCTTATCAACATCAATCCCACTTCACAGTCACTCAAACAATGCATTCAAATCAGCAAATCCCTTTAACATTCATTAAGCAAAAACAGTGAACCAAAAACATGCAAGATCAATCAACTCATTTGGTTTCAAGGGTTTATGGGTTAAGAGACAAAGAGGGTCTCTTTTGTATGGTGGTTTAGTAACAGGGATCTCTCAAGAAAGTGGCTTTGCTTTGGCAGAAGGCTAAGTGTTAGAACCAAAGATGATGCAAGAACAGCAGCTCGAGCCGCCTAATCCTAACTCGATCGAGTTCAACACTTAGAGCTTTTTAGAACAAAATCCTAACTACCCTTTTTGGCATTTCGCCTTTGAAACTGAGGAGCTTTGCTCACTTTTCTTTTAAGAACTTCCTAGGGAGAGGCTTCTTGAGGTAACATCTAGCGGTTTGGGATTTTCTAAACACTTAGGGAACTTTTCTTTCTTTTTGACACTTGAGGCTTTGCCTTCTTTTCATTCTACTTAGAACCCTTTTTACTTTCCTTTTTTAACTTCCCAAACCTTTACTAGACCCTTTTTAACACTGCCAACTCCCTGGACTTAACTAAACTCTTTTTCCTTTGGATTTTCCCAACTTTTACCACTTTTCTGGTTTTTGACACCCAACTCGATCGAGCTCGAGTTGGCACCCCCAAACTTAGCCTGAAAACAATCCCAAGAGAACTAGACAACTAGAACTACTGCCCCTGCCGGTTTAAACACAACACCTTATGCTAAGCAAAGCCAAGAAAGGTTCTCACATTCGCACAAGAGATAATATGGGGTTTGAAATGAAAAGGCTTAGGTTTAAGGTGTGGTAACTGTCTCAAATCTGGAGATCAGCTATCTGGACAAGCAAGAGGGATATGAAAATGGTAAAGAATGTCCAGATATGTATGTGGTAGCCATGAGTTGAAATCAAATGCAAGCATTGGTAATTAAAGATCAAGTTATGGTTCAAATAGATAGGGAAATGCATCAAATCACAGCAATGGTTGAATGAGATGTGCATGCAGTGATATGATCAAGATAAACATGGTTCTTGTTGCTCAATCAATCTCACCCTAATGCACAAGAGAATCTAAAAACAGGGCACTCAAGAAATCACAAATCGCCCGTGGATTAGCGGGACGCGGACGATATGCGCGGCACGGTCGCGGTACGTTCGTTCCTTGATCGGCCGGCGTGCGCGGCTCAGGGCGCGAATGCTCGATAAGGCTGTCTGGACCAGTCTTCACTATTTTGATCATAACTTGAGTTCTACTCATCCAAATGATGCCAATCCAATTGCGTTGGAGAGTTAACTCACTCAGAGCACGCGGGGATCTGGTCTTGATGAAATCAATTGAGAAGATCTTTTTTAGCTCCTCCCAAAGTAGAAGCTGTGACAGTTGACTCGTTTAAAGTCCAAAGCCTCTGTTTTGCTCCATAATGCACCTTTTGACCTAAAATGACTCTTTGCAGTATAAATCCATAAAAATTACCTTTTAAGACAAGAATCCACTAGTTTGTTCAAAAAAAAAAAGGACAAGAATACACTAGAAAACCATTAGAAAACCATAGTAAAATAGCATAAAATGCATGTAAAATAGAGGTATATCAAATCCAATAAAAATACCTTTTTAGATAGAAAATCTGCTAAAAACCATTAGAAAACCATAATAAAATAGTATAAAAAGCATGTAAAATAGAGGTATATCACCTAGTTAACTCTTTCCCAAGGTAACGAAGGCAAGATCTCAGAAACATGAGGTTAGCCAGTGAGATCAAGCTTTGGAGGCCTTAGAATCTTTGTTCAAACTCACCCTTTCAACACCTATAAACCTCCTTTTGAGAGGCAAGCATGTTTAAAATCTCGTAGTGGATTTGTTCAAGCGATTTCCCATTCATTCCCATGAGGAAAATCGCCTAGACTCATACACACCATGGATAGTGGTTATGCAGCCTTAAGCATGGTCCAAAAGAGAGAGATTTGCAATTAAGAACATAAAGCAATAGAGATTAAGCATAAACAAAGATGATCCCTTTAAAGTGTTTGGCGGTTTAAGTACATGGATCTCTCAGGAAAGTGGATATGCTTTGGCAGAAGGCTAAGGGTTAGAACCAAGGATGATGCAAGAGCAGTAACTCGAGCTGCCTAATTCTGACTCGATCGAGTCTAACACAGAGCCCAGAAAATGAAGAACAACTCCTAATCTAACCTTTTGGCATTTCTCCTTTTGAAACAGAGGAGCTTTGCTCACTTTTCTTTCTCTTTTCTTTAAGAACAACACAGGGAGAGGCTTCTTTAGGTAACATCTAGCAGTTTGGGATTTCTAAACACTAAGGGAACTCTTTTATTTTTAAACACTTAGGCTTCGCCTCCTTTTCTTTTCTACTTAGAACCCTTTTTTCTTTCTTTTGACACTTCCCAAACCTTTACTAGACCCTTTGAAACACAGACCAACTCCCTGGACTTAACCAAAACTCTTTTCTTTTGTTTTCCCCAACTTTTACAACTTTTCTGGATTTTAAACATTGAACTCGCCCAAGTCTAAATGGACACCCCCAAACTTAACCTGAGGAGAACTAGACAACTAGAACTACTGCTCTTGCCGGTTTAAACACAACACCTTATACTAAGCATAGCCAAGAACAAGGCCTCACAATTCGCACAAGAGATAAAATGGGGGTTTGAATGAAAAAGGCTAAGGTTTAGGGTGTGGTAACTGTCTGAAAGATGGAGAGCAGCTATCTGGAATATCAAGAGGGATAAACAATGGGAAAAGAATGTCCAGATATGTATGTGGTATCAATGAGTTGATATCAAATGCAAGCAATGGTAATTAAAGATCAGGTTTAAGGTTCAAATTGATAGGGAAGTGCATCAAATCACAGCAATGATTGAATGAAATGTGCATGCAGTGATTAATCAAGTTAAACATGGTGCTTTCTTGTTCATTAAATCTCATCCTAATGCACTCAAGAATCTAGAATTGGGGCACTTAAATCGCAAATGAAAGCAAGCTCACAAGGTTAAGTCAACTCTGCACAATAAAACAAAGCTGAATGATGCAGTCCTAAAGCAGTTCTAACAAATATGAATGCAAAAAGATGAAATATTTTTGGATTTTTGAAAATGTATCAATTTTTAGGGGTTTTCTATGCAAATAAGATGATGCATGAAAAATTGAACTAAGAACAGAATAAACAAGGTTAGAACTTCTCTTGATTCCTCACCAAAAATTAAATCAGACAGTCCCTTGTGTGAAAGAAGTTCAAGGAAAGATTCAAGAGGGAAAAACCAAGAAAACCGCATGAAAATGATGTGGTATTTACAAGGGAAGAGTGTTTGATACCTTAGTGCTCCCCAAAGAACTGGGAAGCAAGGTCTTGGGTAAGAGAAGGCAGGCGACCATCAGGGGCACTCGAAGCAGCTTCATCCATGCAGCCTTCATCATCATCATTGAAGTAAGTGTGGCTCCCTTGCCCTTGGCTAAGTCTGGAGCGCTCAAACTGGCTGTAAGGGTTCGAGTGGCTGTGATAGAGGTCCTGGCAAGGCGCTTGCTCAACTTCATAGGCTGGATGCTCAAATGGTGGCTCCTCTGGGTCGACTCGATCCCTAGCTCGGTCGAGTTCAGGATGCTCTGCTTGGGCTCGATCGAGTCCATCGGTCAAGTCAGAACGTCTGGTTCTAGAACTTCTTATCCTCCTCTGTCTGCTGGCCTCTGCTTCTCTAGGCTCAAATGACGAGGCTCTGGGGGTTCCTGAGCCGGGAGTCTCCTTGGTTGGGTGAGAACAGAGCGGCTCCTAAGGAAGGGAGATGTAGGAGTTGCCTTGGACTTCTTGGATGAAGATCCCTTGACCTTCTTGGTGAGGACATCGACCCAACTAAGGTCATAAAGAACATACCGGTGGTCAAGGACTCTCCCATGACTCGTTCCAAGACCAGGAGACTTCGAGAAGGATTCAATGAAGCTGTTGAGACCCTCCTCAACACCATGTACCTTGGAGATTTGCTCAATACCCCGCCGCCTGACGAAAGCCGCTTGAGCAATGACGTTAACCCCTTGAGCAACACCATTGCCCCGAAACTAGCCTTAATGGAGGACTTTGCACGCATGAGCCTAGAGGAGGATCACCCTCATTTAAAGCATTGTAAGTCTATTTACTTGGCAGGTAATGGAGTTCAGAACAAGTCAGAGCTTGAGGACATGATCAAGACCCGCAATGTAGCCGACAAAGAGCTCAAGGAACGTGAAGACACTTTGGGAGCTACTGAAGAGGAGACACTTGAAGATCTTCACCAACTCAACTCTCAAGGCACTGAAGAGGAAGGCTTCACCATTGGACCAGCAAGGAACGGACCCGGACCAGACAAGCTCTACTCAACACCACCTCAGCTATACTCGTGCCAAAAGCAGGTATATTCAGTTTGTACAATTTGTGCAGGTAAGGGCGAGTATCCCTATGGTTATTAGGCTCAGAGACAACCCCAGTTCGAGCCCAGAAGAAGACACACAAGTTTGGTTTAGTTTGGTTTAGTTTGGTTTAGTTTAAGTGTTATTTCCTTTTCTTGTATTTTTATTTATTGCCTCTAAGGGGAACTCCCAAAGTATTTATAGTGCCCTAGGTGATATACCTCTATTTTACCTACTTTTTATGCTATTTTACTATGGTTTTCTAATGGTTTTCTAGTGGATTCTTGTGTTAAAAGGTAGTTTTTATGGATTTATAGTGCAAAGAGTCATTTTAGGTAAAAAGGTGCATTATGGAGCAAAACAGAGATTTGGACTCTAAACCAGTTCAATGCCCCTGCATCAACTTTGGATGGAGCTAGAAAAAGATCTACTCAATGGATTTCATCAAGACCAGTTCCCTGCGTGCTCTGATTGAGTTAACTTTCCAACGCAACTGGAACGGCCTCATTTGGATGAGTAGAAAAGGAGTTATAGCCAAAAGAGTGAAGACTGCTCCAGACGGCCATATCGAGAATCAGCGCCCAACCGCGCAGTCCGGCTGGCCGAGGAACATGTTCCGCGCTCGGCCAAATGTATCCGTCCGACTGAAGTCTCGGCCAAAGTCCAAACCGCTCGGCCGATCACGCATCACGACCCGGGAAACTAAGCCCGCGGTCGGCCAGCCACAACGCCACGCCACGCCGCGCACGACCAAGCCGCGCGAGCCGGGAAGTAACGCCTCGCGGCCGCGCAACTCGTCTCGCGTACCACGCACGAATGCTCCGTCCGACCCGGGGAAACTACGCCCGCGTCCGGCCGAGACCATCGGCCAAATCTCATCCGTCCGACCAGCCGGCCGACCGTGAAATCATCCGGGACCGTTCCGACTCGGCCCAAGACCCGACTGTCCGGCCGATCGTCCCGACCGACCGTCCGAACGCCGCGGTCGACCCGAAGCCGTTTTTGAAGCCCAATCCGCACAATTCAAGCCCAAAGCCGGCGCCGACCTAGCTAGATTAGGTTTAGCCGCCTTTCATACTTAGAGCATTATAAATACTTCTTTTTAGCCTTGTAACTCAAGAAGGAGAGAGACCACAATCTATTTTACATCTTAATAAAGTTTTGCTTGCTTTTACTTTGTTCTTGCTTGTTACTCTTTCTAGAGAGGATTCGAATCTCTGTTCTTATGAATATGAATTCGTGTTCCTTCTCTATGTCTGAGTAGTTTACTTGTTAAGTGATAGGAAGTCAAAGGATAGCATTCATGTATGCTTGATGATTGATCACAATTAGGGTTTTACTTATAATCTCCATCTTTGCTTATACTTAATGCTTGTTGTTAATCTGGCCAATTAGCATATGCCTTTAGGTTGATTTGAGCCTCGACAGTGCTGTATCATTCGCCTGAACTAGTATTTGGTGGGCAATCTCTTTTAGACTGCGACAGTTGATCTACTTGTAGGTTGTGAACAATTGATCTTGATCGAACTAATGCTTGATTTAATCACCTAGGGACATACCAAAAGTTTAGCGACTAGGTAGATTAACAAAGGGGTCGGAGCCTCGACAGTGGAATGATCATACCATAGTGTTTCAAGTTCTAGATTAGCACCTAAGTGCGGTAACCCTAATTGATTGATTTCATGCTTCTTGAATTGCTTATCTCAAGACTATCCTATTGCTTAGCCTTTCTCTCCTATTGAATTCTCACTTTTTATTACTTGCATGCTTTACTTTCTCTGCACTCAACCAACTTATACTTTTGCCCTAGCTTGATCTCAAACTCATAACTTGTAGTGTGCAATCTGGTCCTTGTGTTCGATACCCGTTTACTACTTCTGACCTGTGCACTTGCAGAATCAGGGATAGGAAAGGGGAAGACCTGATCCCGCGATCAAGTTTTTGGCGCCGTTGCCGGGGACCAATTCGCACCTACAAGTTCTTGCAAGAGAGCTAGTCTAGGGTTTCTACTTTTCCTTTTTGTTTTTGTTATTTTTCCTTTTTTCTTTGATTTCGTTTTTCCTTTTTGTTTTTAGCTTTTCAGGTTTTCCTAGTTAGATATGGAGAAGGAGCCACAAGCCTCTTCCCCTATAAAGGCGATCCACTTCGCCACATACCACCTCAAAGCACCTCTTGAGCGAACAAGAGATGTCAAGCCCTCAAGCACCACCACCTTCATGGGATAGTCCTCCAAACTATCCTCTTTGAAGACCAAGAAGAAACTTCTTCCTTACCTTGAAGCAGCCGACCTGGAGACGTCTAGCCAAGCCGCATCATACCAAGAAGAGCACCTTCTAGCCACACCAGAAGAGGAGATTGACCCTGAGCTGATCGAGTTCGTGAAGAGAGATCAATTCCATGATCTGTTTTCAGAGTATGCGCTGGAGCACATAGATCACTTTGACAATCTTTGTGATTCCTATGGAGTTTTTGACTTTGAGAAGAAGATGATGCTATTCAGCACATCACTAGCTGGAGCACTAGATTTGCAAAGATGCCACCTTTCAAATCCAATACCATCATACTCTCATCAGCTGGAGAGAGAGCGTGACGAAGAAGAATAAGGCATACCACCCCATCCTGAAGATTTGAATGGCATCACCACCTACTGAAGAAGAAGATACTTGGCATATGATCCCATTGATCCCAACAAGATAAGCCCCATGAAGCTTAAAGAGTTCAATGCTAAGGTGAAATCACTTCCATTCTATGTCACTTTTGAAGAAGCTTGGGATAAACATGGTCTAGTGGAGTTCTTTTTCACAACTAGTGAAAACAAAGAAGAGATACACCAACTTTTCAGGAAGGCACGATTTCCCTTGCCCCTCATGCAGTCAATCAACCACCATCACCACCATCATCACCACCACCCAGTGGTATGTCAATTCCATATCAAGAGAGAAGCTTGCTGAGTTCAATCAGTTTGTCCAAACTCTTCCAGCCAGCATGTCTTTCAAACAAGCTTGGCGCCACTACCCATTCACCACCTTTCTTCCACAACTGCAAGAGAGACACCTGAGGACATAAAGAGCTTTTTGAGAAAGCTAAAGTTCAGCCAACCTTCAAGACCCTCTACAAGATTGAAGACCCAGGTCAATTCTCTATTCCCTGTCAAGTAAATGGTCATTACTTTGATAGAACACTATGCGATTCTGGCTCTTGCATAAACCTCATGCCAACCCAAACCGCCAAACTCCTTGGCATCACACGCTTGCAACCTGCTCAAATTAGTATTGGACTTGCTAACCATACTATAGCCAAGCCAAGAGGAGTTGTTATTGATGTTCTTCTAGAGATTGGAGATATCAAGATCCCGGTGGACTTTCATGTCATGAACATTCAAGGAGGATGTGACACACCATTGATACTAGGCCGACCCTTTTTGGCCACTGCTGGAGCTGTCATGGACCTTCCAAACCGGCGAATGTCCTTAGCCAATGTTGACAAGACAGTCTTTTACAAGACCATACCATTCATCACCAAACAAGCTGTCTTACCTCATCACTGCCCAAGGCCGCCCAAGAGAAGCCACCAGACCACACTCAAGGTCACAATGAGACAAGAACTAAAAGACTATGTCTCAGGCCGTGCCCTTACCCCATCTCCAACTAAGAGATCCTATCAGTCAAGCTAATGACTCAAAAGAAGCGCTGCATGGGAGGCAACCCATGAAAGGTGTTTTTCTTTACTTTTCTTTTCAATTAGTTTTAGTTAATGTCTAGTTTTGTTTTGAGTTTTGGATACAGGAATCTAAGAACCACACAATGGTAAAGAAGATATACCACAAGAAGAATGTTCATAGTTGGCGCGACTTGATGGCCGAGCAGAACCTCTCCACGCTCGCCCATGTCCTCTCAAGCCGCCCAACACACCATCCCATCTCATTCCATCTGCATCTCACCCATCCCACCTCACCACACTTGCATTCCATCACTACCATCATTCCACTGCATTCACCATTCTTCAAGTAACACAAAATCAGGTTACATCTTTCTTTTTACATTCACAACCACTTTATTACCTCTTTCTTTAACTCCCTTAATTGGATTTTCTTTCACCGGGACGGTGCAAGTTAAGTCTGGGGGGATTGTCGGTACTAATGTGTTTGTTCATGGTTGTTTTGATCTTATAATTGGTTTTTCCTAACCCACTTTTTCAAAACTTCTGTTTTATTGAGTCAAAACCAGTCCGGAACAATGAACTTGCTTTGAGATTTGATAGTGTTATGCTAACAATCTATGACCCTAGAGCAAACATCAGCTGAAGGCACAAGCCTAACAGAAGCTCCTAGAGTGGATCGCATGCTAGCTCAGCGAAATTTCTAAGGTAACCAAGCAATCTAGAGTTAACCTCACCCTTAATCAATCTTAATAACTCTTGTCAAGGGGATTGGCATACATGTCGACAGTTCCTTGCTTGATTTTCAATGAGATTTGTCTAAAGAGTTCTCCTCTCTCTCCCATCCCAAATGGTAAGTAATGTTTATGAGAAAAGCTCAAAGAGCACAAGGAAAACAAGTAAGCATGAGGAATGCATATGTCTGTACCTTCATGTCTTATGGAATACCTTATCAAACAAGGAACAAGCTAAAGACTTATCCTGTGGTTGAAAGAAAGGTCAATAGAAAAAATAAAATGATACCCTAGAAAAGTAGGGAGAAATTGACCTTTCAAAGTTCTGATGTGAGAAAGAGAGAGGAAAAGAACTCATTGCACTTCAAAGACAATCTTGGAGAAGATCAAGTGGGTAAGAACAAGTTCAATTGATCGATGTTCCCTTGATAAAGAACTCACGCTTTAAATTTATGCAAGAGGTTAGCAATAGAGAGTTTGGATTGCTGGATGAGACTAGTTGGGTTGGTATTGTTCGCTAAACTTGCAGGGTGTATGTGAAGCTAACCTTATGTTGACTATGTTCTTAGTGGAATACAGGAAAGGAACCTTTCACAGGATTTTCAAAGAAGCAAGAGAGTTCCCACGTTTTTCAAAACCTCTTCACTAGTTTAGATTCTTTTTGCTTGGGGACAAGCAAAGATCTAAGTCTGGGGGAGTTGATATACCTCTATTTTACCACTTTTTATGCTATTTTACTATGGTTTTCTAATGGTTTTCTAGTGGATTCTTGTGTTAAAAGGTAGTTTTTATGGATTTATAGTGCAAAGAGTCATTTTAGGTAAAAAGGTGCATTATGGAGCAAAACAGAGATTTGGACTCTAAACCAGTTCAATGCCCCTGCATCAACTCCTGTTTTTTTTCATTTTAAGTTTGTCCAGTTTTTTCCAATTAATTACGGGAATGCCATTACTTTTTCGATTGGTAGACCGATATTTAGGTCTACCAGATCTGCTGAAAGACCAAACACCCCTCATCTTCTACCATAATTCATCAATGTTGACAACCACCATTTTTACCCAATTTGGAGCTGTTAATGCTCTGAAAACTCACTTTGGAGCTAGCATTTCTCCTTCTTTCATCTCACAAACTCTTATTTTTCATTTTCTCTCCATTTTCATCCCAAAAACTTAAAAGAAAACTCAAATCTTGGGTCTTGGCATTTCCAATTGTTTAGCTTACAGTGATGACCGGAACTCGTAATTGAAGGCCTAAATTGAAGTTATCAGCCCTCGAAGAGCCTTTCTCCGACGGCCAGGTAACTTTTCTTTCAAAATTCTAAGAATTTCAGTTTTGGTCTGCGAAGGTAGACTGAAGTGTAGGTCTACCATTACATAGTAGACCTCAGTTTAGGTCTACTGGTCAACGCAGAGTTGACTGTGCCATTTCCTTTGCAAACAAAAAAAATGAGTGGTAGACCTACACTTAGGTCTACTCCACGTGGAGGGTTAGTTTTGCAATTGATTGAGAAAAATTTTTTTTAGGTCTACCTTGTCGGTCTACTCCACGTGGAGGGTTAGTTTTGCAATTGATAGAAAAATGTTTTTCGGAGGTCTACCTCTTAGGTCTACCTAAAAAAAAAAGTTGGTTTTGCCGTTGACTCAAGTTTGACTTTCCTCAAAAAGGAGAGATTTTGCGTCATTGAGGTCTACCGTGTAGGTCTACCATCCGGTAGACCGCAAGTGAGGTCTACTGGTCAACGCAAAAAACTGAGGTCTACCACGGAAGTCTACCCGAGGAAAGTCAAACTTGAGTCAACAGCAAAACAAACTGTTTTCGGTAGGTAGACCTAAGGCGTAGACTAATTCAGAGGTCTACTTTTTTTGGTAGACCGATTGAGAGGTCTACGTTTTCTGGTAGACGTACACGGTAGACCTCGTGAAAAAGTCAACGTTTGGTCAATTGCAAAACTAACCCTCCACGTGTAGTAGACCGACAAGGTAGACCTCCAAAAAAACATTTTTCTCGATCAATTGCAAAACTAACCCTCCACGTGGAGTAGACCTAAGTGGAGGTCTACCGTGAACGTCTACTCCGAACGTCTACGTTTTAGGTCTATTATTATGTGTTTTTTAAATGTCGTTTTCCTTTCAATATATCAAATATTTTGAAATTTATCTCGAACAGTTAGTTGTTTTTATTTGTTTACTTGCTTCTGTGTGAGTTTGAAATGTTCTTTCGGCGTAATTAAGGCTATATTCGGTTTTCTTTTGAATTAGGTATCTAGCTTAATTTTTCTGGTAGACCAAATTGTGGGTCTACCTGTCGGTCTACGCCTTCTGTCTACTAATCCATTTTGTGGTCTGGTTTGTTTTTGTTGCAGGTAATGGTTTGTCTAGCTTCCGTTTATGGAAAATGGGTGGTGATGGAAGACAAGTCATGGCATTTTGAGATGGATAAAGGAAAAGGAGGGAAATGTTCTACTTACGGGATGGTTGTACACATGAGGAGCCTCTTAGAATGGTACAAGCTGACTATATGTTGGATATGGAACCAGACTGGTGGAATTATCTTATCCATTATTAGATGTGATGCTCCATCAAATACCCTCAGACTTTCCTCATATGTACATCACCAACAGGCATGTTCATAGCTTGATAGAGTTTATAGTTGTTCGAAGTGCAGCAACCGGACATGCCCGCCTTCATTGCGTAAGCTAATGACAACTCACATAGTGTTCATGGTTTCTGTTTTTTTATTACATGAGTTTTAAAAATTGGATTTTGAACTGATGTAGATGAACAACGCAGAGATAGACTGAAAATAAGGTCTACTTTGGCTTGAAGATAAAGTCTACTTCGCAGAAGTAGACTGATAAAGAGATCTATGAATGTGATCTACTTCAGTTATCTACTTTGAGCTATTTTCAAGTTTTTAATGTAAAATTCAAGTCGGATTTGCAAGTTTGATTTGATATGATGAGAAATGCAAATGCCAAAGAAGACCAAGCATGAAGATACTAATGAAAATCTAAGAGGCAACAAGGTCTTACAATCAAAACTGACACAAAAATAAATAAATAAACTCAAATCCGAAAGCTTTATAGACTTAAAAAAACTCAAATCCGAAAGCTATTGTTCTTCATCTTTGCTCGGTGTAGACTCATCAACCATATCCGACAACTACTGATTCGGCAACTGCATATTCACTGATCGGTGTAACACCACCTGTATCAATAATGTATGGTTTAGCTTTAACTGTTCCAATTCCTGCAACAAATTTGAGAAAAAGCAGACAAAATCTGTAAACAACCAAAGGCAAACAACACCAAACCAATTTTTTAATAACGGACAATGAAAATGTCATTACCAGAGAGCGCAGCAGAGTTACAGTATACATGCATATGTATTAAAAACAGAGCTTTGTAAAAAACAAGAGTAATAAACTATGCGGGAAAATAAATATACTATGAGTGTTATGATGAAAAGCATTAATCAGTTTTGGTTTCACAATCAAGTTCAACATAGAAAACATAATCTTATATGTGTCTCATTACCATCTGCTAATTCTAAAACCCATAGTGCGGTTTAGGGATCCGGCTGTCAAGTTATGAGCAGAAGATAAAAAAATGTATGCATGGTACAGAAGGTAAAAGGAGGAGGAGTGTACCATTGAGATGATCACTGCATCAGCTTCCCGCCGTTGGAAACTGTCAATGGTAGCGACTTCAACTCCATCAGCAACTGGAAAATCATCAAGCCTGTCTCTGAGAAGCTGCACCTGAGCAACATATGGTGATTGAACAGCAATAGCCATTGGACTCACACCTACAATCATGTGAGTTGGTTATATAGGTATCAAGGTTAAACAGAGGAAAGCAATTAATATGTATATTCTTCAAACTCTGGCTCGTTTCTAAGTTGCAACAGATTGAAAGTATATCACTAACCTGCATAAATCAAAGAAATGACGTGATTAGCCACGATATCAGCTTCTCCTTCGTTGTATAATCAGTTCCTGGACCTGCACATGAAAGGGAAAAAACACAATCAGTTTAGTACTCAAATCGAAGATAATGATACAGCTTAAATCTCTTAACTATCAAACTGGAATCTAAAATCTCACCGCAATATCAGCCTCAGCAATGTCTTTGACGCGAATTGTTTCTTGCTCAAGCTCAGCTCTCTCTTTCTCAGTCTGGCACTGCTGTGTTTGATTCTGTTCTTCCGTGGCGATTCTTGCTTTCTCTTTCCGGATAGAAGACTCCTATTGCATCCTTACCAATTTCCTCTGTCTTTTTCCTGCAATTCATAGAATTAGAGATTGTAACTTGCAAAAATACCCAAGAGCAGCAGAGAGAATGGACATAAATGCAATTTAAAATCAGAGAAGCATCATCAAGGATTCATCACCTGTTTGGAATGAGGAAAGTTGTTGATTTCTTGAAGAGCTTTATCTGGTAGGTTATGTTGCTGCTTAAATAAAGTTCGGATCTGTTCCGGGAGTAGAACGATGGCTCTGCTCATCAAAATCAAACCAAAACAAATCATTGCATTAATAAAACATGTCTCTGTAAGACTAGATCCTAAACACACACGAAATCTAACCATTCTGCAACATAGAAGCCAAACAAATAATTAAAAAACCAACGATGATCAAAGAGAGACCAGAATATTGTATTATAAGTTGGATTTTTTTAATTTAATGTGTTGATAGCTTTCTTCTCATAAATTGCAGGACATAAAGGAAAACCATATGAGCAAAAGATGGAGAAATTTTGGTTCAGGAATTCTATCGAACAGGTTTTGAGCAGTTTTATCAACTCAAAAATCGACCTCTCTATTGCCATCCAATATTTCCCTTGACAGCTAAACCAAATCCCTAACACAAACCTCTAATAATCGGAAAGAAGAAGCATTTCAAATCAAATTCAGAGCGATACAGATACACTTGCACCAGTTATCAGATTCTGTGTACCTGTGTATAAAAGTGAAGCCGGAACAGTGTTAAAAAGTGACGCCGGAACCACCTCGCGGCCACAGCTGGCGCCGTCAGAGGAAAAGGAGCTAGACCTGCATCACTGGTGATGAGGACTCATTGGATTAAAACACGAGCTATCCTTCGGCGGAGAGAAAGAAGAAGAAGAACGAGGGTTTACCACTACGAAATTCAGAGAAGGCGGAGAGAACACGTTCCATTAGCTTCTGAGCCGAAGGTCTTCGCTCAGGCAAGAGAAAACGGCGGTGATCCATCGAAAATTTTGCTGCGGCTCCGATCTAGATTTGTGGAGCGCGGTGTTTTAGAGAGAGAGAGGGAGCGCCGCCGTGTTTTAGAGAGATAGAAGAGCTGAAAAATTATGGAACAAAAGGGAAAAAAATATATTTATATGGAGTCAAAAATTTGGTTAGGTTAATATTTCGGTTAATATTTTGATCTAGGTAATTTCCGGTTCCCTTCTCTGGTTAAATTTTTTTGGATTTCCCAAGGTTAAAACCGTTGGTAGAACTATATTGTGGTCTACTGGTTCATTCTACTGTTTAGGTCTACTTTACCCTAAACCCTAAAATGAATAGTTTAAATACAATTTTGCAATGATTTGTTTGCCATATTGTCAATTTACAGTATATATCACAAATAAATAAACATTGAATCGTAAAACCAATCAAAAACAATTTTTCATCTAAATTTTTTTCAAAACCCTACAACTTACCCCATTAAACCCTAAAACAATCTACTCAAACTCTGACCCTATGAACTATTTACATATGATATTTTATAGATTCATGATTTTTTCTGAAATTTTATTTTTAATATATGTTAAATGTCTATTATTTCGTTATTTGTGAAACAATTATTTCAAAATATTTTTAAAAAAATTCTTAATCTAAATTTAATATTTGATTAGTTAGTAGACCTACTTGATAGACCCTCCCATAGTTTATAGACTGTTAACCTAATTTGTTTTTTTCATAGTTCAATTGATTCAAATCTATGAAATTATATTTTATATAGATGAAGTTGTTTGTATTGCATTTATGTATAAAAAAATTTCATCAAAATATTTTTTTCGAATTTTATAATTAAAATTAAAATTTAATGAGATAGTAGACTGACTCGGTAGACCTCGATTTTAACCTACATGTCTTTGCTTATCTATAAATGATTAATTTGTATGCATTCATATTTTTGGTAGTTGATAATGTATATATTATAATTATTCATACATGTTTGTGTATATAAATATTTTTTATTGAATTGTTAATTAAAATTTAAGATGTTATTACCAGATAGACCTCCAATATTGTCTACCAGGTAGACCTTTGCGATAGATCTACCTAGTCCGGAGGTTAAAATCGTAATCGAGACATGCATTTTTTTATTTGGTCATGAGGGAGTGTGGGGTAATTTTACTACCCATGGAAGTTAGTTTTGCAATTGATTCAATTTGTGGTCTAGTTGACTAAAAATATTAAATTGTGATCTAGAATTGGTAATTTCCCCTAAAATAGATGTATATAAATTTGACGCGGAATGGCATATAGTATCCTTTTCCAAGAGACTCTTGAACTCTCACTTTGCGTGGGCTCTACCATATTTTTCTAGGCCCAATCCGATAATATTTAGTGTGCTTGTAGAAGAAAGAATCCCTAATATACTAAAGCACAAGTCAGTCAATCAATTAAGAATTGACATGTGTCAAGTTTTTTAAAATACAACAAAAATTTACTACTTTTAATCAGAAAAATTAATGAAAATATCAAAATAAAGAAACGTAATTCTGAAAAAAATAAATAAATCCACAATTCCATTAATTCTAAAAATTCCTAACTTTTCTCACCCACAATCACCATGATCACATTTCTAAAACTGTTTTACTCACCTCCTTTATAACTCCCAATCAACTCATAATCTTCTCTATTTGTTGTCTATCGTCTTCTCCAGATTCATTTTCTGTTTACATATTCATCAATCTAATATATTATTTGCGAAGTGAAAATTTCGTTTTCAGCCACCACGTTAACTCTCAGCTGGTTGATTACCCACATACCCTTAATGAAAATCTCATGAATATCTTTATTTTTTAATTTTTTTTTATAAAAAGTAAACATTACTATTATCCTTTTATACAATGGCATATATTATTTAGGATAATCACCACTATTTAAAAAAAGTTAAACCTCTACAAATCTATATATACACTATATATATTTAACCCTAAATCTCTCTCCATGACATGAACATAGTTTTCTTCCGCCGATGATAGCCATACCGTAGTGCATAAGTCAATTTTTTGCTAGACGTAAAGTGGCTTAAGTAAACCCTACCTTTTATCTAGGCAGAAAAAGCTTACTGCACAAGTGAAAAAAGAAGAAGAACAAAGGGCTCTACAGCTCCTGATTTCAAGGAATTCGAGTTAGTACAATGGATTAGATGTTAGGCTGCTTTGGGATTTGACTATGGAGTAATCTTCCTTTGCTGAAACAGATCCATGAATTAGTTGTTATCAGTTAGTCTTACGAATAGTGGTCTGGTAAAATTTCTTACTCAAGTTATTAAGTTACGTAGAGAAGAGCCCACCACTACAAACTCTCATTGCCGTAACAGAAAATCTAAACCTCCAAAAAGAAAGTAGATATTAGAGGTAGAAAAACAAAGTTTTTGTCGGCATGCTTTTTAAGGGTTGATCTCATGTTTTAATAAAAAGATTACAAACTGTGTATATGTGACACATCAGGTAACAACCAATTTTGATTAATATGTGCCGATTTTCTATGACTTCTTCTTTTACAAAATATATTTGATTGATTGTTTCATAAATTCTTTGACTTAATTTTGAAATACTATTATCTCCACTAGAGTTTGATGATGGTTATGTTATTTTCGAATATCTTGCAGCAAATAGCAGTTTAGAACCCTCAGTTTTGTCCTAAATATTTGATCGGAGATGGGCAGATGGCAAAGATCGGCACTGTTTCTAATCCGCGTTAAAGGCTCAAGTGGTACATATTTCTCAGTTTCCAAAGAAACACGTGCCATAATTTTACACGATAATCAGGAAAAGGTCCAGCTATGGGACAGTGCTGTGGAAAGCGTCGGTCTACGTCTCATGAAGGACTCGGGTGCTTCTGTTGTAACGAGTGTATAACAATGATCACATGTTTTTTTTTTTGGTTGAGAGAAGAACACAAAATTCTCTAATTTTTTTTACCAAAAAAGAAGAGAAATATACCTGAGGAAGCCGAGAAAGTGCAATCACCAAAGCCACCGTCTTCCGTCGCCCATCTACTCCTAGACACCACCGTCTTTCGTGAAGTCGTCGAGTGGAAGCTGACCTCTTTTTCGCTCATCGTCGCCATGTCTCCGCTTATTTTTCATGAGAGAGTGAATGGTGGAAAATTTCATCCAAGTTATTATTAGGAGAATCGTGATCCAAGTTACCTCCCTCCACCTTTTAGCTGTTGTTGCGTTGAGTAGAACATGTCGTTGTCACTGGTAAGCGAGACTGGTTTACGAATGCCGTTTACGTAATTGATTTGTGAGCTTGTGGACATTGTTTCTTAAGGCCTAAGATTTTGTGGGTAATTGTTGATTCATAATATATGTGATTTTGCCTCCAAAATATGTTCTTGCTTTTAATATCCATCGTGTTGTCCTTCTTGGGTTCGGATGTGAGCTTGTGGTTCTCTCATAGTGCTCAGTTTGTTGACTGATTAAGAAAGACATATCATTTAGATGTGCATTGTCGGTGTCGCAAGACTGAATTCGTTCAATGCTCGATGAGATAGGAAGTTTTAAAGCAGTTGGACGCAAAGAGAAGACAAGGGATCGTGTAGCTTCTCCGCTGATCAGATAGAGTAATAACTATATGAGCCTACTTTTAGTTTGATGATAGAGTGCTATAATTTTCTGGAGCTGGATATGGTTAAGGTAGAAAATGTGAAGGCATACAATATCCGGATTAAAGATGGATAGAGGCCTCAGACTGAGCACATGTGTTAACGGTTCTGAAAATTATTAGACAATTGAAAATGATCCAAGTATTGGTTATGGTGTAGTGTTGATGGAGAGGGAAGGGGAGGGTTATTGTAGGGTTAGGGTTTAAAATATAGAGTTTATATTGGTGGGTGTAGGGTTTAGTTTTGTGTGCATTAAAAAAAAAATAGTTCATGAGTACATTTACGAAAAAAAGACATAGAAAAATAACTAAATTATTTAATATTTTATTTGAATCTGATAAATAAATGTAATATGAAAAGTAATGAAAAAACATCAGATATTGAATTTGAAAGGTAATGAATAACAAATTCAGAGAGGAATATTTTCGTCTTTGATCTAACACATATGGAATATTTTAATGAGATAAATCATTATTTGTTAAATTATTTTCTTTTTTTTAAATGATAAAAAAGTGAAAGGTAAAGAAGATGACAAATAAAATCAGAAGGAAAGAACAATGACGAAGAAGATGAAATCTTTGGAGTTTAAATTGTTCTTTCAAGAAATTTATTTTGAAATAACTTAAATGGCTTTGTCCATCAGTGAGAATAAAGATCATGAAAAAAATTGGGAATAATAAAAATATATATGAAAATAATCCTTGAAAGTCTATATGTTTTTTTTAAAACTTAAGAGATCTTTTCACTTATCGAATCTTGAAAATCTATATGTAGATTGTTGGATGGTTGTCAAAAAATTCTGTTTTTTTATTTTATATTTGTAAATGAGAAACGATTCTTGACAAGATTAGATAGTTATTAATGTCGGAGAAAAAAATATAAATAAAGAAATAGAATATAAATAAAAAGCCATACAAAGAAGAAATATGAATAACATTTAGAGTAGGCGGAGTAGAAGAAGAATAAAGTTTGGAAGATGAAGATGACAAAAAGAAAAAGGTGAAGACGGAAATGATAGAACACAAAACCAGAAAAAAAAAATTGAAGAATATGTGAACAAAGAATAAGTTGACGAAATCAAAAGATAAAAATTGGAATAAGATGATGCCACAGAAGATGAAGATGATAAAGATAGAGAGATTGGGGGAATAAGATGATGCCACAGAAGATAATAAAGATAGAGAGATGCGGGGAATCAAGAAGAAAAAAACCGGAAAATAAATATAAAGAAAATTAGAAATAAAAAGAAAAATAGTGAATTAAAGGATGTAAAGAAACAAGAAAAGACTGAAGAATAAAAATTGAAAGAAGAAGAAGAATAAGAAATAAAAAAAGATGATGACAAGGAATAAAAAAATTGAAGAAAAAGAAGAAGATGTGATCACTAGAGAAGAATAAGAGGGAGACGAAAACATATTACAAAATGAAAAACTTTTTCAAAAAAAGAAAAAGAAAATAAAAGTAAATCCAAAACCAGTTTGTAATGTGGGATTCATGTGTGTGGTTAAGAGGGGGTATAATGTAGGTGTTAGTTTAGGGTGTAAAGTTGTTTAGGGGGAGGGGGTGATTTGTTATAATGTGGGTGTGGGTTTAGGGTTGTTTAGGGGGGCGGGTGATATAATGTGGGGTTTGGGTTTAGGGTATAGAGTTGTTTATAGGGAAAGTTATAATGTTGGGTTTGGGTTTAGGGTTTATATTGATAGGTGTAGGGTTTAGTTTTTTGTGCATTTTTAAAATTTTGAATTATTATGAAAGTATATCAAAATTAAAAATCATTGATTATAAATTTATATCTATCATTCTAAAATACATTCACAAATAGAAAAAAAATAAAACAATTGAAATCCAAAAACAAAAGATAACAACATAAATAGATTTTTAAAAGATTTAGACTATATAAAGATAAAAATAAGTGAAATATAAGACGTAAACAAGAAGGAACAAAAATACGCGTAAAAGAAAAGAAGATGGGAAATTTCGAGAAGAAGAAAACTCGAACATGAAGAAAAAGAAAACAATGAAGAAGAAATGGAATGTGATGAGAAAAAGACAAAGAAAAGATAAATAAAAACTAAAATAAAATGATGTGAGAGAAGACGAAGATGATAAAGATAAAGAGAGAGGAAGAATGAGGAAGAAGAAAACTGGAAAAGAAATGTAAGAAAATTAGAAAGAAAAAAAGAAGAATAATGAGTTGGAGAATATAAAGAAACAGAAAAAATTTGAAGAACAAAAACTTGAAGAAGAAGAAAAAAAATGATGACAACTAATAAAAAGATGGAAGAAAAAGAAGAAAAAAAGATCAATAGAGGAAAATAAGATGGAGAAGAAAACAATTATTACATAATTTAATGATATTCATCTGTTTTCACAATTTATAAGTTCATATCAAATTAACAAAATGTTAAGCTATTGTTTTTTGGAAAATAAGTACTCCTCTGTCCCATATTATAAGCTGTTTTGGCATAATGTATCTGGATGTACATTACACAAATATGAAAAGTAATTAAAAAAATGTGTTACTCTAATATTAATACTCCCTTTATCCCAGTTTATAAACAGTTTTGGATATAAAACATAAATACGGAAAATTACTTAAAAAATAAAATATCGTTTAAAATAGAAATAAAATATAATTTGACTAATCATAACAAAAAAACAACATAATATAATTGGTCACACAATATTTGATAAAGTAAAAGTTGCATTGAAATGTGTTAACTGTTTCTATTTTCAAACAAATTATTTTCTAAACTGCTTATATATTGAGATAGAGGGAGTAGAAAAGATTGAAGTTTTAAAACATCTCCTGCCCGCAAAAATAAAAATAAAAGCAAATTTAAAACCAATTTGTAAAATGTGGGTTTGGGTGTGCGATTTGGGGTGGGGGGGGGGGGGAGGAGGGGGAGGGGTGTTACACTGGGGGGTTCAGATTTTGGGTGTAGGGTTGTTTAAGGGGGTGGTGTTATGATGTGGGGCTTGGGTTTAGGATGTAGGGTTTATATTGATGAATTAGGGTTTAGGGTTTAGAGGGGGGAGAGGGGTGTTACACTGTGGGGTTTAGATTTTGGGTGCAGGGTTGTTTAAGGGGATGGTGTTACGCTGTGGGGCTTGGGTTTAGGATGTAGGGTTTATATTGATGGATGTAGGGTTTAGTTTTTGGTGCACTTTAAACATTTGAATGGAAGAATATCATAATGAAAAATCAATGATTATAAATTTATATCCACCTTTCTAAATTACATTCACAAATAGAAAAATTAACAATTAAAGCAAATCCAGAATGGAAAGATAACAAAACCAATATATTTTTAAAAGATCTCGACTAGAGAAAGATAAAAACTATTTCACAAATCTTTGAAAATATAAACTATCGAATGAATTGATAGGTGATATACAAGACGTATACAAAAACGAATAAAATAACAAGTAAAAGAAAAGAAGACAATAAAAAAGAAGATGGGGAATTTGGAAAAGAAAAAAAAACTCAAATATGAGGAAAAAGAAATCAAAGAAGAAAAAATGAAATGTGAAGAAAAAAAAGACAAACAAGACATAAATAAAAACAAGAATAATATGATGTTAGAGAAGACGAAGATGATAAAGATACAGAGAGGGGGAATGAGGAAGAAGAAAAACCGGAAAAAAAGAATGTAAAGAAAATTATAAAGAAAAAGAAGAATAGTGAGCTGGAAGATATAAGAAAAGATTGAAGATAAAAATTGGAAGAAGAAAAAGAAAAACATGATGAGAATGAATATAAAATTGAAAGAAAAAGAAGAGAGTGAGATCATTAGAGAAGAATAAAAGAGAACACATAAGAAGTGAAAAATCTTTTGTATCTCGTTAAACGAATGGAGAAGAAGAAGAAAACTCGAATATGAAGAAAAAGAAATCGAAGAATAAAAAATAATATGTGAAGAAAAAAAGGAAAAAAAAAACGGATAACTAAAAACTAGAATAATATGAGGAAGAAGAAACACCGAAAAAAGAATATAAATAAAATTAGAAAGAAAAAGAAGAAAAGTGAGTTGGAAGATATAAGAAAAGAATTAAGAACAAAAACTGGAAGAAGAAAAATAAAAAGGTGGTGAGAATGAATATAAAATTGAAAGAAATATAAGAATGTGAGATAATTAGAGAAGAATAAAAGAGAACAGAATAAGAAGTAATAAATCTTTTGTATCTTTCTAAAATAAAGAAGAAAATTATATAGAAGAACGAGAAAGAGAAAACAAAAATAAGGCATATCAAAATTACAGAAATAAGAAATTGGCAAAAACAAAAATTGTTTATAATCAAAAATTCTACTATTTATATTATTAATTTCTTTAATTAATTTTTATTTAAAAAGTATTGTACCCGCACAGGGTGGGGGACAACCACCTAGTCATCAGTATTTTCTGATTTCTGTGTTTCCTATTCCTCTGCGTCTTTTTTTTTATGATTTTTTTTGTCTTCTTCCCAATTTAATTGTAACAGTCCGGCTCGCCTGTCAATTTAATTGCAGGTCAATTGGTGGTAGCTTCCTGTAGGGAAGGCTACTTAAAGGGTGAGGTCTCAGGTTCGAGTCTCACCAACAACCTAGGTTGATATAGTGGTTGTGGCCTTATACACCGGAGGGGTTGGGATGTATTGGGCTGCAGCCCTAACAGCACCGGGCCTGGCGGTGGGCCGGTGAGCCGGGCTGTTACATTAATACTCCATGATTCACGTTGAACACACTACGGAGGACATAAAGGCTTATAACTCAATTTTCACATTTATTTATGTAGGTGAAGATATTGGCTCATCGGTCAACAACGGTTGTGTACGCTTGGTCTTTCGATCATAGTCAAAAGTTTCATCAATTTAGAAGCTTGCTACCTTCCGAAGGACGAGGTCTTAGATTTGCATAACTGTATATATGTGATAGTGAAATCGAAGTAACAAACAAAGCAGCAACACTCAGATAACTCTTGAATCTATTAATTAATTACTCTTACGTCCTCTATGAATCATTGTTGGCTTAGTTTCATTACATATCCTAATGTTTTAGAAAGCAATACTAATTTACGTCGTTTTCATATTTTTAGTTCGAAACTACAATTTGACAAGCGTCTCCAACCTGTTCGATGAAAAACAGTAGCAATCGATCATGTATTTCAGTATTTGATTTGGTTAATTTCAGTTTTCTTGACTTATATTAGTTTTATGGTTTTAGTTCCTTCTGTTAGAAGTTTTTTTATTTATATACCTTGGAAAAAATGTGAGTGTAATGAGTATAGTGTAAACGTTAATCAAGCTGATTGGTTTTTCTAGGTTCACTTTATAAGTGACCTTCTATATTGCTTTTTTTTTACTGCATCTTAAATTTCAGTTTTCTTTTGCACTACTTCAGGAACTGATGTTTGTTTTTATGATTTTTAATAAATACAAAACAGGTTATAAACTACATAGTGGTCTACATTCACACATCTCTTACCTCTCATCTGTAAGCTACTTATTCCCTACTTCTCTTCACACATATTATACATCTCACCTAAACATAAGCTACTCGTTACTTTTCCAACTTTGTGAACTTCTTAAATATGAGATAATTATTCACATATTTTGCAGATCACTTAATCATACCAAATTCTCTAAACTCATCATAGAGATGAATATTTTTTACGTTTTCATTGTTATTCTCATCTCTGTTTTTGCCACACCAGAATTACACAAATCCACTCACCGATATGTCTTGAGTGTTGTTCGGCAAGACGCCTTACTTGCCGAAAAGGATCCAAAACCAAGCATCATGAGTGAGACAGAGTCAGCAGCAATCTCCCACATTTATCCTCACCAAAATCCACCTATTTTCCTAACGCAGATATCAATCGGCGAACCGGCGGTTCCACTATTACTTATTGTAGACACGGGAAGTAGTTTCACATGGATCAAATGTGGAGCATGCAACACATGTCATTCTCAACTTCCGGGATATGATCCAATGGTTTCATTAACGTACAAGAGCGTGAGCTGTGATAATTCTTCTTATAGCTCCTCTCCTGCGTTGTTCCCCGTTAAGAAAACCGGAGAATGTCATTATCGTCAGGTGTACTTCCACGGCTCAGAAAGCAGAGGTACCTTAGCCAAGGAAACGATACAGTTTGAGACTGATGACGACGGGTTTGTTTCAATTCAAAATGTAGATTTTGGATGTGCGCAAGACATCATCAATGGATCCGACGTCGGAAGTGGTGTACTTGGGTTAGCATACGAAAATTTATCAATTCTTAAACATTTTGAAAACAAATTTTCTTTATGTTTTGAGACATTAAGCAATGATCCGAATTCCGGTCATAGCTTTCTAGCACTAGGAGATGGAGCAAGGACGACAGGACAATCCACAGTTTTATTTATGAAGTATGGTCATTACCATGTTGACCTCGAGACAATCAGTGTCAATGGAAGAGATATTCCAAATTATTTGACACACATCAAAGGAAATACAATCATCGACACGGGGACTACTCTACTCAATCTGGCTGGAAAATCGTACAATGAGCTCAAGAGTCATATAGACAGCTTTCTTGACGGGCACCTAAACAGCTTCATTGATGGTAATTTAGTATGTTACAATGGGACAATTCAACGTCAGCTTCAACGATTGCCTAGAATTACATTGACCTTCTACAAGGGGGCTTCTTTAGAGTTAGACCCGACCAGCCTTTTTCACCAGTTTAGTGATAAATACTTCTGTTTAGCTGTGATGATGACCCCAGAAGAAATTGATCTAAACATCATCGGGATAACGGCGCTTCAAAATTATAATGTCGGTTTCGATCTGGAAGACGAAACTATATTTTTTGACAAAATCTCATGCGACTATCTGAATTAAAAGTTTTAGTTGTAAGTTGTAATCGTATTTTAATTAAGTTTGTAGTGAGAACTGAGTTTTCTCAAATCACGACAATTTAAACTTGATGACATAACATATGTTTTTTTCACTTCACGTACAACGTTGCCCGGTTCAATAAAAAAACCATAAAAGTTGCATTTCTTAATATTGAGATCATACCGAAATTATTTCAATCAAATATTAAGATAAATTAAGTTGGGAAATTTGGCAAAAAGGGATAAATAAAACTCCCCTCTTATAATACTACATTTACCAAATTTAGCCTTCAAAATAGAGATTAATATATGTTTAACATACAGATTAACAATATACATAAATAGTATTAATATTTAGGGTTCTTGCACTTCTAACCCACAATTTGAAGTCAATGGCAAAAGTAACCTGCTGTTTTTTTCATTTAGCTTTACCCAGTTTTTCCAGATAATAACGAAAATGCCATTACTTTTATCTCTTGTGGTCTACGAATGAGGTCTACGTTGTCGACCAGAAGACCAACAGAACCTCATCCTCTACACTTATTCACGAAACTGCCACTCTCATCAATGAACCCAACCACCATTTTCAACTAACTTCAAGCTTTTAATGCTTGATACTAGTAATTGTGATACTCCAAACATAATTGCACATCCCATACATCTAACACTATCATTTTCTCCACATTTTCATCCCAAAAACTCTCTAATTCTACTTTTCCATATTTCAAGTTCTTGATTTTCTCAAAATCGGGTTTGTGGCTTTCCTCACCACCGCCGAACGGTTGTGAAGGCTTAAAGACAAAGTTTCATCCCTCGGCGGCCCTAAAGACGACGGCCAGGTTGTGGTTTACTCCATTTTCGTTTTTTCAGATCTGAGTCGATATCGTAGATCTCAGGGTTAGGTCTATAGGTCAACGCAGAGGTTAGTTTTGCAATTGACTAAGACAAATCTGTGGAGTTAGACCGCGTAGAGAGTTCTACATAATCCCTTTGAAAACAAAAAAAATATCGTAAACCTCAAGCAGAGGTCTATTTTGAAAACAGGTTAGTTTTGCAATTGACCAAGGGAGGGCTTTTTTTTTGAGGTCTACAGATGAGGTCTATTGGTCAAAGAGGTTAGTTTTGCAATTGACTGAAGTTCTGGTTTTTACCTTAGACCTCTTAATGTGGTCTATAACAACAAATTTTTAAGCTGACGTCTACGTCAGAGGTCTACATAGGTTTTAGATCTCAGTCTTAGGTCTACCTTAAAAAGTTGGTCAACGCAAAATAATAGGAGGTCTACGATAGTGGTCTACAGGTGGAAAAAAATTTCAAACAATTGCAAAAGTAACCTGTCTGAGGTCTACAGATTTCGTAGACCTCCCCGTAGACCGTATAATTTTTCTAGACTACAGGTTGAGGTCTATTTTGTTCGTGAGGTCTACCCAAATTTTTTGGATGAATTGCAAAACTAACCTCTTTTTTTGTAGACCGCATTTGTAGATCTCAAAAAAGTCTTCCCTTGGTCAATTGCAAAACTAACCTTTTTTAGACCTCTTTGCTAGGTTTACGCCTACGATCTAGTTTGGAGGTCTACGATTTTTCCGTTTTTTAAAATCGATTTTCTGCGAAAACTAAAATTGTTTTTGTTAATATTTTTTCATAAATACTTCTATTAGCCTAATAACTTGTCCCTATGAGAGTTTTGCATGCTAATGTTATGTAATGAAGGTTGTATTAGATTTTTGGTTAAATTTGGTAACTTGGTTAAACTCTGTAGACCGCAGCCGTGTGTGGAGGTCTAAGTTTCCGTCTACAGGGCATCCATCAATATATATTAATGTGTTTTCCCTTTGGTTTTCATGCAGATCATGGTTTGTTTGGCATCCGTGTATGGAGCGTGGACTATCAGAGACAGAAAATGGTATTTTGAGGTTGATAAAACGAGAGGAGGTAGAATGTTCTACCTGCAGGATGATTGTAAACATGAAGAGCTGGTTGAAATGGTTGTGAACGACTACATGTTGCAAGTTAATGGCGAGCTGCTGGAGTTGTCATATCCATTACCAGCTGCTATGATGGAGAAATTGCCAACGGATTCACCTCCTATGTATGTGACGAACGACAGACAAGTTGGGAGCTTGGTGGAGTTATGTAAGGAGCATGTGGTCCGTCTTTGCGTCTCGACCCGCGTTGGTATGGGAAGGAACTACGACGAACCATAGTTAGTGCATGTTTCTTGGTTTTTTTACTAAGTACATAATCATAGCTAGTGCATGTTTCTTGTTTTTTGCACTCATGGTTTGTGTATTGTTAGCTTGCAATAGAAGACAAGTTCAAAATTATGATTCTTATAGATTAATAGAATTAAGACAGAAGTTACAGGCATCTATAAAGATTCCGGTAATGTTACATAAATCATTCTGTTAAAACGCATTTTGTTTCCTTTATGACAATGTTTTTACATAACTAACTTAGAAGCATTTTGACATTAAGAAATCATTAGAAAACTATGGCTATGAATGCTTCTTCATCAGTCTCCGAGGTATTGACTCTAATCGTTGCACCAGTTTCTTGCATGATCTGGTTAATGAAATCTTGACAGATTAGCATGAAGCAACTTGGTAAAGAGCCTTTCTCACAACCAAAGGCTCTCCAATTATACTTCTCGAAATCAACTTGGTAAAGATACCTGAAAAACAACAAACCCAAAACACATGTGAAACTAAGCAAAGTATGAAAAAAGGTTTTCGGAGATGAAATCAATTGAAGAAAAAAGAGTGAGAAACTGCTTCACATCTAAGTTATGAGTAATTGCTTATTGCTTAAGAAACAGTTTCGCATCTTTGTCATCCATAAACGATCAACACAAGAACAAAGTAAGAAAAAAGAAACCTAGGTTAACATAAATCACACAAATCCAACACTATAATTTCACACAAATCCATCACTATAATCAAATAGGTAAAAGACATATACCTAACATAGTTGTAACTAACACATCGACCTAACATACCTAACATAGTTGTAACTAACACATCGACCTAACTAACACAAGGAATATATCTCTAAGAAAGAGCATATAATTAACTTTTCTCTAAGAGTATCAAACTGCTTTTCATATATTTCCAATCAACGCATGAGGTTTCAGACCCTCTTCATATAATTAACCAGATCCATTCACATTTAGTTTACATGATACTGCATTTGTTTCTTTATGTGAATAGCTAATCCAAGCAAACTTTAAACTCAAGGAAGTCTTCAAATCAACAGGACGCAACAAGAAAAAAGAACAAGGACTTGTTTCTACATCTTGAAACCATTTAAAGTAACAAACTTTATCGCTTACAAGAGCCATGACTTGAGCCACGTCTTATCTCTTCCAGCACTCCTCTGTACTACCTACATATACACGCAAAGCAAATGATTATATCATATTAGACTCTACAACTCTAAACACACCCACAAAGTAAGCATTTAGATACAAGAAATGACTACATTTCAAGAAAGCAGAGAGCTTTTCAATTCAGATATATGAAAAAGTTCGGATTATACTTCAGAATAACCTGTAACAGAAAACCCAGATAGAAAGTTCGGATTTTTTTTGCATACCAATCGGGTGAACAGTTAAAGCAGGATGATTCGAGACGGCAGTGTGACGGCTGAGGAAGATGACTTTGTAAACAGCTTCACCGGTTGCTTCCTCACACCGTAAATCGAGATAGATCTACTCTCCAACCCTCCCAAAGCGGCGGAATCGATCCTGCTTGAATCTGACAGAAAGAGAAGATATATTCAGAAATATTATGTTATGTTCCGGCTCAAATCTGATCTAATATGGGGAGAAGGAGGAGGGCTTACCAGTGACGATGGCGATGGGGAGAACGCGACGACGACCGCAACGGCGAGAACTCGACGACGGCAGCAATGGCGAGAAGGCGACGGCGGCGGTAACGGCGAGAAGGCGACGGCGGCGGTAACGGCGAGAACGCGACGGCGGCGGTAACGGCGAGAACGCGACGATGGCGGCAGCGGCGAGAACGAGACGGCGGCAACGGCGGAGACATAACTAGACGGCACATGGCGTTAGGTTGCCGCATCTGAGAGAGAGAGGTTGAGGTTGAGAGGGACGCGAGAAGAGAGGAGAGCGCCGTTTGAAGAGAGAGGCTTTTTTCTTTTTTTATCAGAAATTAGGGTTTCTTTTTCTTTTATAGAAGGAGATAAATTTTCCGGTTCAATTATAAAATTCCTGTTAACCAAATTTTGTTTTTGGTTTAGTTAAAAAAATTAGGTTAAACCAGAATTAATTAGGTCTACGAACGTGGTCTATAAATGCGGTCTACCTTATTTAGAAATTTTGGTTCCCGCTCATTTGGTTTTCAAATTTTGAAATTCCCGCAAATTTAATTCGTGCGCGGTCTACAGATGAGGTCTACAAAACCCTAAACCACAAATTTTGTAAAAAAACATGAACCAAAAATCAATTTTGTTTGCCATTTACAATATTTACGGTTTGATAAACAAAACAATTCAATAGAGACAAAAAAACGAACCAAAAATAATCATTTATAACGAAACTATCTAAACCCTAAGAATTAGACAACTAAACCCTAAACTATTTACCCAAACTCTTATCAATTTGAAACATATACTCATGACATTTATAGATTTATTCGTTTTTCTTGTAATTTATTTTTAATAGATGTCAAATGTATAACAATTAATTATGCATATAAGTTTTTAATCAAATTATTTTTTATCAAATTTATAATTTATTTTTAAGATTTCATTTTCCTGTAGACCTCGTTGGTAGACCTCTCACGGTTTTACAAGTTTCTAACCTAATTTGTTTTTGTCAACCTAAATTCACTTATTAACATGCATGTTTATTTTATATGGACTTCAATTGTCTTTGTCTTGTTTATGAATACAAAATTTTCATCTAAATATTTTCTACTTATTTTATAAATTAAATTTTTCATTTAATTAATACTTAGACCTCCTCCGTAGACCTCGCAGGTTTTTACAGCTTTCCAACCTAATTTGCCTATGTTAGTTTAAATTGACTCATTTGTATGCAATTATAATTTTCTAAGATACAAATGACTATTTCTGATTTATGTATGCAGATGGTTTCATCAAATAATTTTTTAATTTTTGTTCAATTAAAATATAAAACTTAAATACAACGTAGACCTACTATCAAGGTCTAGATGTAGACATCAAACGTAGATCAACGCTCCGGGTTAATTTGGTAATCGCGGCAAATTTTTTTTGTTTGTTCATGAGGGTGACCTTTGTAATTTCGCTACCCAAACAGGTTAGTTTTGCAATACATTCAAATTTCGGGTTATGGTTATAGAAGAAAACAAATTTCGGGTCATATGTGGAAATTCTCCCTTAATATTTTCAAAATAAAATAACAAAGAAAAAAATGTCGCTTTTGTTTTCTCACTCTTTTCTTTTCACGCTACTGCATTATCTCATTTCTCTTCATCAGCAATGAAATCTGTTTTTCTTCTGTATTTTTTTTTTCCGTTTCGATTTTGCATTATGTTTGCTCTTCAAAATTCTCGATATATTTTCAGTTTTTTTTTTTTTTCAGATTCACCACGCCATTTAATTATTCTCGGGTGTCTCAGCTCAATTCTTCGAAACAACCCAACAAAAATGGAAAATCTGAAATTTGATGTCTCGAATTTGGGATTTGTTGGATATTTAAGTGAATAACGTGTTACAACATGGACCAACACTACAAGAAATAAGGTAGATAGCATCACTTATTTAGTGTCAAAAATTGAAGTGATTCTAATTAGCATCATTTATTAAAGATTGAAATTAAATTTATGATTTTGCATCACTTAAAATAATTGATATCAATATTAACTTAATTAACATCAATTAAATTAAAAATGATACAAGTGAATATTGATTTACATCATTTTTAGAAAACTGTTACATCATTTACATACTGAATCATTTTCTCAGTATTACTAGCATTAATAATAAATGATGTTAATATTTACTTCAGTTATAAAAAGTGATGCAAACAAAATTTTGAGTAAACAACTATTTGTCCCACATCGCTAAACAAAGATGAAGGATAGTAGTTTGCTCATCTATATAATAACTTCACCCATATAATTTTTATTTTTATATAAGTTAAATCATAAATATATATTTACATATATTATTTATAATAATAATTACAAAAATATTAATAATGACGAATTTAGTATTTTATTGAAAATAATACGAAATTACATAATTTTTAGTGTTTCTTATTTTTAATTGATATAGTAATATTATCAACTAAAATATATGATATAACTAAATATATTACCATCATTTATAATTATTATTAAATGTATATGAGTATCAACTAATATTATCAATTGTTATAACCAACATATATTACCATCATTTATATTAAATGATTCAATTGTTTATTTCATTTATATTAAGTGATACAAATGTTTACCTCATTTACTATAAATGATACTATACATTAACATCATTTGCAAAAATGATGAAACTAGTTGCATCATTTGTTTTTAGCATCACAAAGTATTGGAGACACCACTTTCAGAATCATTTATATAAATGATACAAATTCATTTATATCAATCAATAAATGATATAAACACTTATCACAGAGAACACAAATTACAGAGAGGAAGGTTTTGATCCCTTGTCTATCAAAAGGGATCACAAGGAGAAAAGATCAAAGGGAGGAGAAGATCAATTGAAGTATTGATCTCATATCAAGTCAGAAGAAAGCATGGATCAAGGTTAGTGTTTCTTTCTTCTTCTCTAAGAAACTGTTTAGGGTTGGATTATAATCAAATCTAGATTATCTTGGGATAGATTTCATATGTGATAGAAATCATTCAAGTAGTTTATAATTGGTATCAGAGCCTATTAAATGTGTAAATTGTATTTCTCATTTATTGGAATCAAGTGTACAATGTTACTTATATACAACAAGATTTAACTAAGATTAGTAGCTAAAGGAAACTAACTAATCCAATAAACAAGTAACCGGATATAACCGGACTATACATCCAATATACCCCCCTCAAGCCGATGTCTCAGAACCACGTTGAGATGAGAATAGGCTTGACATAGACATACAATTAAGGAGGGAAAAGAATGGACCAGGCTGAAGTGGCTTCGTAAGTATATCAGCGTGTTGGTTCTCACTCGCGACAGACATCAATTTCAAGAAGCCATTCTTCACTTGATCACGCACAGTGTGACAGTCAATCTCCACATGCTTCGTCCGTTCATGGAACACGGGATTCGTGGCAATGTATATGGCAGATTTATTGTCACAGAAAAGCTTGGCAGAAAAGCAAACCTCAATCTTCAAGAAAGTGAGCAGCTGTTGTAGCCAAAGAAGCTCACATGTAGTCTGAGCCATACTCCGATACTCCGACTCTGTGCTACTATGTGTGATACCCCGTATCAAGACCTAAAACATCCCAAAGGCCGGGATGGGAAGATCAACACTCTGGGATTGGAAGACAAAGACGTGGGATCTAAACCAGAGATCACAACGAAGACTTGGATCAAGACAGGATCAAGAACGATCGAGCAGAACTGAAGATACAACAAGATTGTCCAGGTGGGACGATCATTGTACGAACATGGGAAGAGCCGACCGGACGGCTAAATATCAAAGTTCTCCAAATCAAGAAGAGAAGAGTCTGGAAGACATAAGAGACCATTCTAAGAAGTTTGGTCGAAGCAGAATGCAAATCGGACGAGCAGATTGAGAGATGGGATGGACGCCCAAGATCTATCGCGCAACGACTGCAAGAAACGAAAATGTTGAGGATGGAGGTATTCCGCACATTTCCAAGCAACTATGTGGAAGCTCAGAAACATGGAAATGAGAGAAGGATTAAAATAGGAGATTTTAATTCTCAAGCACGACGGGGACGAAACCCTCCAGACAGGGAAACGTACGAAACCCTCTGGACGAGGAAACGTACATTTGGAGCAATCTTGTTCTAAGCCAACCAAGTGGTGACACCAGCTACTTGGAGAAGATAAGGATGATCATAACCAATATGGAGAAGACATGCAGCTACTCAGATGGAGCCAAAACCATTCAGCCAATCATGTAGCAACATCCAGCTACCGAATGAAGACGAAGCAAGCCTAAGCCAATTGGGCAACGACACCAGCTGCTAAAGAGGAGAGAGGGCGTGGATAAGCTCCAAGAAGATCTAATGCTATCAGGGAGAGACACCCAGCTGCTCATGAGAGACAAGAATCGTCCAAACCAATCAGACGAGACATTGAGGTGATAAATGGAGACGAAATGACTTGGACGAATCAGGATGCAACACCAACTACTGAGAGAGAGTATAAGCTTCAGGAGTGGATGAGAAGCAAGTGGAGAGATGCAGAAACGGATTGGATCAAGAGCTGACCAATCAGACAGAAGCACCCAGCATCTTAATGGATAAGATGGGTTATATCCAATGGCACGACTACACCACATGCTTAGGGGAAGTCGGCCTATTGGATGAGCATTGAGAGGGGATAGGAATGACGTGTGTCATGTCCTGAGACGCCCTAGAGGCCACCAATCAAAGCTACCTAGCCTAGACCGCCTGGATGTCGCGTTCTGAGGCAGTGTAGGTCGCCACCAAGCAAAGCTATGCTAGACCTAGGTCTCCATGTGTCTGCGCATGACTGGAGACGTCCCAAGAAGCCAGGCAGCCTCCTGAACTCCTATAAATACGCTCCTCCAGCCCCAAGTCCAAACCATTCCATTCCCAAAGCTAGAGAGCACCTGAAAAGTGATTAGAGAGTAATTAAGAAAGTTTTCTTAATTAAGTGAGGTTAGTGGAAGATTAGAGTAGGTCAAGATCAAAGCTTAAGGAAAGCTAGGAGGATCTTGAAGTCTTCTTAAAGTGGTGAGTCTTGGTGTTATAGTTTTGTTGTTTTGGATCTATTGTGTATGCAGGTTGTATGAACACCAAAGCATAGGAGATGCTTTCTGTTCATATTGGTTATTGGTTCTGTAGTATAACTCTCTAAACAATAAGGTTTAGTAAAATTGTGGAGAGTTATGCTGCAGAAATTTATATAATGTGTTATGAGGTTGTGATGGGTAATCTTCTAGGAGAGAAGTTATGCCGTCAAATCTCTTGTGTGTTTATATGCAGGTTTGCATTGTTGTGAGGTTGTGATGGGTAATCTTCTAGGGAGAGAAGTTATGCCATCAGATCTCTTGTGTTGTGAGGTTGTGTCGGGTAACCTTCGGGGAAGGTTAGGCCGCCAGATCTCTTTTGTGTGTGAGGTTGTGTTGGGTAACCTTCGGGGAAGGATATGCCAACAGATCTCTTTTCTGTGTAAGATTGTGATGGGTAACCTTCGGGGAAGGTTATGCCATCAGATCTTGTTAGTGTAGATGCATATCTATACATTAGGTGATGTGAGATTGTGGATGGCTATGCCGCCAAATCTCATAGATGCATCGGTTGTGGGGTTATAGCATGGCTATGCCGCTAAACCTCGAGTGCATGCTAACATGGTGGTGCGTAAGGCCCATATGTTGAGTATGACTCCGATGTGGAAAGATCACGGACGGCTGAGCCGCCAGATCTTTCGAGGTTCGTGTGGGTACTCTTCCGAGGCAAGGGAAGCTCTGCCGCAGAACCGGTGGTATGAGGCATAGTGGTGCGTAAAGGCCCATATGCTAAGTACTGAGAACATGTGGCGTGTCTAACCACATGTTGTCTAGGAAGGTGTAGTCAAGCGCATTCTCGCACGTCAGAGCCCAACCGGATTGGCAGCGTGGAGGCTGTGCATGAAGGGAGGAAGACTCGGAGGATAACCTGGTCAGCTGCCTTGGCCGAGTATGGTACCATATGACGATATGGGATCCAACCAGACATTGGCATGGTGCGCCAGTAAGGCCAATAGATGGAAGGATGAACCGGGTACCGCGATGGACTGTAGTGCCCGGGTGAAGGCGTTCATCTAGTTTCTGTGTGATTCCGGATGAGCGTGAACCTTCACAGGCGTGGGCAGAGAATGTGGCTAATGCACCTAGGCGCCTTATTGCATATAGAAAACAAGTATTAGATACTTGTCTAGGTTTGCATGGGCATTGCATATAGATTGTTTGATTGTTGTTATAGTCTTGGGTTGATCGTACCTGTTCTTGTTTGATTGGGGTACGGTTAGTCTTAAGACTATGGCATCAATAATGCATGTGATTGCATATGTTGTGTTGTGCTAACCTCAATGCAGGTGGAGGCGGGATTACAAGCCCGCGGCGTTTGTGTTTGGAGTTTAGGGAATCCCCCTTGTATAGAGGTCCTAGACTCACTGAGTAATATTAGATTACTCATTCCTTTTGTTTAATGTTTTCAGGTGACCGTAGAGGTGTGAAGTAGAGCGGACCGCTGCAGGCAGTAGGCGCCAGAATAGTTTTGTGGTATGTTTTTGTAAAATTATGGTTTGTTGTTTGGTTTGGAACTAAGGATCGATCCGCATGTTTTTAAGTCGGATTTTGTAAGCACTCTGATATTTTAATAAAGGAAAGTTTTATGTAAAGACCTTATGTTCCAATGATATTAGCTTGGTCCGGGCTAACACAACTCCTGACCGAAGTACGGGTTGGCAAGCCTTAGGCTTTGGTCAAGAGGGTCGAGTTCGCGGGACGGGCTGACCTGGGCTCTGATTTGTTCTTAGTCTGGGATGGCCTATTCGGCGAACATCGACATTTTGTGGCGCTTCTCGGAACGTCTGTGCCTAGGACGGTTCGGGGGTGTTACACTACGGCTCACGACATCTTGCTTCTTAGATTTCCATGTAATCAACGACTTGCCAAGATAGACACAATATCCGGTGATTGACCGGCGAGATTCTGTGTCAGTGCCCCAGTCAGCATCAGAGAAGGCGTTGAGGCAGATCGTAGAAGAAGCTGAGTAGAATAAACCCTGACCCGGATTGTTCTTGAGATAGCGCAAGATCTTGTGTGAAGCTTCGAGGTGTACATCCGTAGGACAGTGCATGAAATTGACTCAAGCAGTGCACAGCAAAAGTAATATCAGGCCGTGTGATAGTCAGATAGAGAAGACGACCAACAAGCGTCCGATAAGGAGTCGGATCCAGGAGAGCAGTGCCCGATGCCTTAGTCAACTTGACAGTGGGATCCATCGGAACAGAGCTCGGTTTGCAGCCCAACAAACCAGCATCAGATAGCAAATTCAACGTATACTTCCTCTGACAAACAGAGATCCCAAGCGAAGAACGGGCAATCTCAAGTCCAAGAAAGAAACGGAGCTCACCGAGATCCTTGATCTTGAACTCCGAGCTCAAAGAAGCCTTAAGACACATAACCTCCGCATCACAGTTGCTTGCAATCATGATATCGTCGACGTAAACCAAGACGGCAGTGAACTTGTCACCAGCCTGCTTAGCGAACAAAGTATTGTCAGACGCAGATTGGACAAAGCCAGATCGGAGAAGCACATCAGAGAGACATGATGGCGGGTTTAGATTGCCTCAAATTTTCACAATTTATAAACCCAACTAATGAGCTGCAAGTGCACAGCCGTGTTGTAGTCGGGGTCGAACACGAGGAGGAAGTGTTCTCACTTAACACCTTGTGAGATTGGTTGTAGCTAGCTCGCAATATGAGATGGTTTTGGACCTAAGAATGAGAAAACAAAACAAAAGAGATGTGAGTGAGGTTGTAAACAATTTAAAACAAGAGTTAGGCAAAGGACAATCATATGGAGCAATGATGAAAAGATAGTTGCATGGGATGTGTGTAGAGCCGTCTTGAACATGAATCACTAGTGTATGGTCTTTCCACTGTCGTGGCTCCAACCACTATGTTTAAAACAACCTAATATACTCAGCTTTCGTTGGCTATTAGAATTGCAAACATGCATTAAAGGTTCAAGATTCAATTGTTCACAATAAACCATAACTCAGCTTTCGTTGGCTATGATCTATTGCTCACCAAATACTAGTTTTGAGATCTAGATTCAGCACTGTCGTGGTTCTATTTCTCTAAGATCAGATTACTAGATGTACGGTAGAGTAATCATGCATTAAGCTCAAGTAAAGGTGAAGATCCATAAGATAAATCCCAATAAGTTGCAACACAATCAAATCATCACGGCCACCATAGATCTCCTCGGCCTAACTAAGAGATCTACTCGGCCATGATGCAAACAAGCAAGCAAAGCATGATTGTAAACATTATGCAAGTATTAAAAGAGATAAAGGGATGAAGAAAGCTTCTCTATTGATGAACAAAGTCGGATTCTCCCTTGAAAACTCTTAAAATCAAGTTTATAGAAATGGAAACAATGAAAAAGAAAGAACAAGAGTTGAGCGGCGCCTCCTTCTTCTTGGACGATCTCCTAGGGCTTCTCTCTCTGACTCTCTTCTCACACGTACACTCTTTGATAATTTTCGGACTCGACTCTCTTCTTCAGCGGCTAAAAACATGTATATATGGGCGAAGTCGCGTAGGGTTTTCTTCATGCCGGAAAAGGAAAGTTTCCCGCGAGCAAAGCCTTCTTCTCCACGTCGTGTATGGGCCGACATTGTACCAAGGAAAGCTCCAAACATTAGCCAGGCCTCTTCTCTATTCGATCAAGGCCTTTGGCGCTGCTGCTCGGGCCATTAGACACTCCAAATCCTCCATGGGCTTCGTTTCTCGCTTACCGGACATGTCTCGGTAGAAAATAAGTCTAGGCCTCATAGTTGATCCAAATGGCTTCATTCCACTTCGACGTGATGCATGACTCAAGTATCTATCTTTCCATATCAAGATCGTAACTTTTGGACGTCGGGAACTCCTCCGCGCGCGGCCAAACTTCCGAAGCTTCGTTCTGCGCGCAAGCGAGAACTAACACTTGGAGATAAAATGATCTTCTTGACTTGGAAACTTGCATGGATCTTGGATTTAGGGCTCTTTTACTCCTTTTTGCATCCTTTTTGATTATTTCACCTACAAAGACTTCAAATCCCACAAATACAAGAAAACTACCTCTAAAGGCAAAGAATCTTGCAAAAACCGTTTGAAAACATAAGTAATTATATAGTAAAATCATGTAAAATATGGTGATATCAACTCCCCCAGACTTAGCCTTTTGCTTGTCCCCAAGCAAACTAAGCAGGAAAAGAGGTTTGAAAACGTGAGAACTCTCAAATCTTTTGGAAATCCAAATTGACTTATGCTTTAGTAATCCACATGAAACAACATTGGCAAATTTTGAATTAAGAACAAAGTACATACCATGAGTTTTGCGATTGTCCCAAAGCAGCTCCACCTCTCCTTAGACAATCCAATTCGCCACCCTTGACTCCTTTCATTTCTAAAGGTGTGGTCTCAACTAGGGAATATCGATCACCGGCTTTTAGACTCTTTCTCATCCCCTTGTTTGGCACTTGCACTACAAGAATTATGGGCAGTAATAGCACATTATTATAGCTCATTTTTAGTAAATGCTATTATAGATAGTTTGATAATTTTGGGCTGTATATGATAGCATTTTAAAAATGCTAAACATGAAAATAAGTAACGGGGAAGCTAAATTTAACTTTGCTCTTCTAAAATCACAAAAAACCCGCCACACTTAACCAAAAAAAATCAATTTCGTCCCAAGGGTTATTAAAACTACAAAATATTTCTTTTTGTTTTGTCTTATTTCAGAACGAATAATAAAAAATAAAAAAATAGTCTCTTCAAACTTTTCTTCGACCTTTCTTTCTCTCTGGCTCGATTCCTCCTTTCCCCTCTAACTGTACAAATCCCTAAACCCTAGATCTATATCTCCGACGAGATTCCGGCTGAGTTACAGTTTTTAGTCAACCTCGTTGTTCTTAGTCTCTCATCTAACCGTCTCTCCGGACAAATCTAACCACATCTCGCTCTCTGCGTTATCAAACTCCACGGCAATCAACTTTCCGGCCAATTCCTGCTACAACTCGGGCTTCTCGTGAGATTAACGGCGTTTTATGTCTCAAACCAGAAATTATCCTGTCAGATTCCGGCGAATCTGACGACTTGAAACAGAAATTTCGTTGAAGTCGGTCTGTCTGGCTTCTTCTCTTATTCAAGGTCAGTATTGCTTTCATTTTGTGGTTTATTTGTTGTTTTTCGAATTTTTAGGGTTAGGATTCTGATTTGATAGATTTTGGATTTAAGACAAGGTTGGGATCTATAGTTGAAAAGAAATTGAGATCGTATTTCGATCTGTTACGGAGGCTTCTCTCTTCCGCCGTATCGGGCTTAGTTATTCTTGAAACCTCTCGACATTGGCTTTGAATATAGAAAAAGTAATGTGATGCAAGCTGAAATGTTTGTGCAGCGAGAAGGATATAGATGAAACTGCTTCAGTCACATACTGTATATTAAAATGTTTCGGAAGGAGTTCTTGCTAAATCAAAAGACTTGATGGTGGCTTTGGAGCAGATAATCTTACGAAAATATGCTTGGAGGTTTGTTATAGCTTTGTTTTCGTTTTTTATCTGCATCAAATTTGTTTCACTTTTTAGATTTTTGTTTGACTTCTAAACTCTTGTCTTATATGTTGATGTTGATTATGGATAAAGGTGAGCTTCAAGTCCCACCAGCGAAAGCTTGTTGCTGATTGTTTCTTTCGGTGATACTTGAATCTCTGAGGAAGCTAAAGTTGATGTCTTTGAATGTGGATATTCTCAAGGTTGGTTTTGTGATGGATAGTTGTTGATCCTAAGGTTTTGAGATTGTTCTCGCAGAGTACTGAAATCGGAAAGGCTGTGAATGGCATGAGGAATATGGCATTAGGTTGGTATATGGGTTAATTGCAGAGTCTTTGGCTCTAATATCAGTGGGTCAACACCACAAAGGAACTCACTGGTAATTGCTCTCTCTCTCTCCGATTCTTATGGGATTAGATCAATAGTCTTTGGTTCTTTGATGCAAGTGAGTTAAGACTGTTCTCTCTTATTTCTTTGATATTTTAACCGTGTTTTAGCTATATATGTTTGGTTGATTAAGATTCCCTGGTGTTGTTTGTTTCAGATCCTCGTAACACAAGCTGAGAACACGAAAGAAGACCACAAAATATCGCCAAGAGCTACAAGAGGTCTCGAGTATCTTCACAAAGCTGCTGCTCCAAGAAAGCCTTGGAAGAAAAAACGATGAAAGGAAGAAAGTCTTGCTTGCCTAAGATGTTAGTATAAGTCTTGGATGTTTTGTAACATTTGTTTTGATATGATGCAAGACATGTTTTGGGTGATTAATGAAATTAATTTCTCAACCAAATTTCAAATATAATTTTTTGTATGAATCTAATTGATTATATGCAACAATTACGGTTCAAAAGTGCTTTAAGTTATAGCTTAAATAAAGAGTTATAAAACACTAGATCATAGCCTGAACAATGTGCTACAATACACTTGATCATAGCATTTTATCAACGCTATGATAAAAAAACATATAATAGCATAATGTTAAAGTGCTATCGTATGAGGTCAACCTATTATAGCTCCGGCAATCATAGCACTTATAAAAACGCTATCAAACACATATGATAGCGTTTATTATGAGCTAAGAATGTTGCTTTTTCTTGTAGTGTTGTCTTTTTACTCCATGTTTCTCCTCTCTCTCTTCTCACTTCTTTGAGTTGATCCATCCCTTTTTTAGGGTAGCGAAGTATTTTTTTATTCAACTCCTTCTCTTTATTATAGAGGTTTTGCTTGGATCTTCCACAGACGCGAGTATTGATGGTGTTTGCCACCGAATCCCCGGTTGCTTGGATTCATAGGCCTTCCATAGACGCGAGTATTGATGGTGTTTGCCACCGAATCCCCGGTTACTTGGACCTTACGCTTTTTCTTTTAATTTGAAGGGGAGAGAGAGGGAAGCACGAACTCACTAAGACTTTTTCATTTGATGGAGAGGATGAGGAATCAA